GAAAGGAACCCTTCTCCATTGCTGGTGGGAGTGCAGACTGGTGCAACCACTATGGCAATCAGTGTGGAGATACCTCAAAGAACTAGGGCTACAGGTCCCATTTGACCCAGCTATTTCCCTGCTGCATATTTTCCCAAAATAATTAAAAGAATCATACCACAGCAATATATGCACACGCATGTTTATAGTGGCATAGTTTGTAATAGCTAAAGCTTGGAAACAGCCCAAGTGCCCATCAATTGGAGAGTGGACAAAGAAAATGTGATTTTTTAATAAAATGGAGTATTACTCCGCCATAAAGAATGAGAAACTGGAGTCATTTATAGCTTAATGGATGCATATTGAGGCCATATTCTTAAGTGAAATAAATAGGACACACATGTGTAAATACCGAATAGTTTCTCTAGTGTGAGAAACTGAGAGTGTAATAAGCATTAAAAGGATTAATAACTAATAATTGATACTTTGAAATAGGAAAAGATCCAAAAGGGTAGGGGTGGTGGGAGGAGGTGGGGAAAGGAAACAATGGAAAGGAAAAATTATGAGAAAAGAAAAAAAATGGAAACGAAGTATGTAAATAGGGAAGGGTTTAGGGGTGAAGGGCGCACAGGTAATGGGGAAAAAATAAGAACCAAGATGCATCATGTACAGGTACAAGCACCCAATGATAAATGTAAATGTACCATATACCTAAAGTGTACCAATAAAATAATTTAAGCAAAAAAAAAAGCCTAGTACTTTGTCACAGGACAACAGAAAAGATGGCTTAAGGACATCATAGCAAGCGGCAAGATTCCATTCTTCCTGGGCTCAGAGTTGCAAAAGTGAAAGATTGCTTTGAGAAGAGTCTCAGGGCACCTGGCTTGAAAAAGGATGCCTAGGAAATTTGCCTAGGATTTGGTTCACTGTGCTCAGTCATCCAGGCACTCAGAGGCCTCCACAGCTATGATTCAAGGGAGTGCGCTAACTGCTTGAATTGGCAGTGGATTTTGCCATTATCCACATGGTACTGGTTTTATAGACATGCAGAATGCATGAGTTATGGGATCATGGAGGCTTCTACCCAGATTTCAGAAAGTCTGGGAGGCCAGGCAGTGTGGCCCAGGTAGGGCACTGTGTGAGGCTGTGAGAAAGAAGCCATGGAAACCCTGGAAAGTTGGAGAAATTAGGAATGTAGAGCTTCTGAGGAAAGCTCCAAGAAATGATCAAAGCCAGCCCAGGAAAAGAGCCATGAGGGCTACAACCACTGGCAATGCCATAGGGGCAGGGACATCCAAGCCATGTGGAATTCATATCTTGCTCAGGGTGCTGGACACAAAGCAATAGGATTTAATGTTTCCCTGATGAATTTTGGTTTTGCTTTGGTCCCATGGGTTTCTGTCTCCCCTTTCCTCCCTTTTGGAATGGGAATGTTTACCTTGTGCAATGCTGGAATTGTTAAAATTTTGGCAACTCATAAAGATGGACTAAATGTATTTTATATAAAGTAATGTCCAACAGTCCTTTGGGAGCCAGGGCAGAATGTTATCATTTAGATTTAAAACGTTCCCTAAAGCAGCCTCAGGCACTCATAGGTGGGGCTTTCAAAGAAGGTGTGGTTTGGTTGGAGGAGGAGGGTCCCTGGGGCATGGCCTGGAAAGCTTTCTAGCTCCTCTGCCCTCTCTGCTTATTGTCCCTTGTGCAGTGAGCAATGTCCCCCCATCATGCCCCTCCACCATGCTGGCAGGCCTTGAAGCAAGCCAACTATGGACTAGACCTCTACAAACTGTGAGCCAAAATAAAACATTTCTCCTCTAAGTTGTGGATGTCAGTATTGTGTCTCAGTGACAAGAAAATAACTAAGACAGATTTTGATTCCAGAGAAGTGCAGCCATTGCTGTGATGCTACCTGAGCACATGGTTCAGAAACCTTTGAACTAGTGCTTGGGAGGATTTGGGAAAGGCTTGGAGATACTGACCAGCTGGAGAAGCAGCCTTAATCTTGATACAAGACTCTGGTCAAAGTTCAGAGACCAGAATGCTGACAAAAACTTAAATGGTAAAGACCAAGCTATGGAGGTTTTAGGTGGGAACAAGGACTCTATAGGCCATGTGTGTTATGCTCTGGCAAAAATTTTGTCTACATTTTGCTTTCCCCTCCCCCAGTACTGGAGATCTAATTTAGGACCTTGCGCTTGTGGTAGCATGGGTACTGTTGGAGGCTTTTATCCAGCTCTACACTGAGGATCAAGAACAAAAACTACAGTTGAGTGATTTTAAAAGTTTTGAGTTTCACCAGAAAAGAAGCTTCTGTGAAGTTGGGGCCTGTAAAGTCTGAGCAGAGGAGAGTTTGGTTGCCAAAAAGGTTAGAAGCCAAGAGGATGCCTTGAGGGTATGGGTGGGATCTGAAATACACCTCCACCCCCATTCAGACTCCAGGGTGGAAAAATGAAAGACTTTGCTTTAAGAAGAGAGCTCTCAAGAAAGGCCACCTATAGACCCATGTTTATAGAGGCACAGTTTGTAGTAGCTAAAGCTTGGAAACAGCCCAAGTGCCCATCAACTGGAAACTGGATAAAGAAGATGCGTTTGTTTTTTTTTTAATAAAATGGAGTACTATTCAGTCATAAAGAACGAGAAACTAGAGTCATTTATAGCTAAATGGATGCATATTGAGGCCATACTATTAAGTGAAATAAATAGGACACACATGTGCAAATACCAAATAGTTTCTCTGGTGTGAGAAATTGAAAGTGTAAATAAGGATTAAAATAATTAAAACGAATAATTGATAATTTGAAATAGGAGGAAAAGGTCCAAAGGTTTAGGGGTGGTGGGAGGGGAAGGGGAAAGGAAAGAAAGGAAAGGAAAAATTATGAGAAAAGAAAAAAAATGGAAACAAAGTCTATGTAAATAGGGAAGGGTGGAGGGGTGAAGGGCACACAGGTAATGGGGGAAAAAGTAAGAACCAAGATACATCATGTACAGGTACAAGCACCCAATGATAAATGTAAACATATTGTATACTTAAAATGTACCAATAAAAGAATTTAAGGGAAAAAAAGAAAGAAAGAAAGAGGAAACAAAGGAAAAGAAGGAAATAAAAAAAGGAAGGAAAGAGGGAAGGAAAGAGGGAAGGAAAGAAAGAGAAACTAAAAACTAATTTCCACTGTCAGAAAGCAGATCAGGGCTGGAAGTGTGGGTGGCTTAGTGGTAAAGCACTTGCCTAGCATGTACAAGGTCCTAGGTTTGATCCCTTCGCTGCCAGAAAGCAGGCCACTGATTGCCTGGCAGGCGGAGGAGCCATGAGCAGAGGAAGGACAAAGAATTACAAAGGGGCACAAGGAAAATTTGGGGGGCGTGGATACATACATTATCTTGATTGTGTGATGTTTCCACAGTTATATACATTTGTCAAAACCAAATTGTATACTTTGAATATGTCCAATTTATTGTATGTTAATTATACCTCGACAAAACTGTTTTTTTATTCGGAAAAAAAAAGGTCATCTGGGAAACTGGCCTCCTGGGATTCATTCCCCTGGAAGCCAGGCAGTGTGGCTCTGGGGGGCAGTGTGTGAAGCTCTGAGAGTGAAGGCAAACCTGGACTGGAAACCCCAGAGAGCTGGAGAAGCCAGGAGTGTGGGACATCTGAGGAAAGCTGCGTAGGATGATCAGAGCCAGCTGAAAAGAGAAGCCATGAGGACTATCACCACTGGCAGTGAGACAGGAGTGGCCCACGCAAGCGGCTTGAAGTTCACCTCAGATCCTGACAACTGGCCCCGGGTGCTAGACGTGGAGCTATAGGATTTGATATTTGCTCTGCTGGGTTTCAGCCTTGCTTTGGTCTCATTGGCTTCTACCCCTCTGTTCCTTCCTCATATGGTTTAGGTCTAACTGCTGCCCCAAGCCTCCTGCACTCATAGGTAGGGTTTTTAGAAAGTGATTCGATTATGAGCCAGTGTGTGTAACCGGCTTGTTATTAGGAGGTGGAGTCTGGCTGGAAGAAGTGGGTCACTGAGGGTGTGACCTGGGGGCGGGGGTGCCTCCCTTCCCAGCTTCTCCCTTCCCAGCTTCTCCCTTCGCTCTGCCTCTGCTTCCCAGGTGCCATGCTGTGATCAGCTGTCTTCTGCCATCCCCCGTGCCATGCTATCTGGCCCTGGAGCTGGTGGACTAAAGACTAAAACCTCTACAAACTGTGAGCCAAAATAAAATGTTCCTCCTTTAAGGTGTGGGTGTTCTTATCTCACGATAAGAAAGTGACCAAGACACTCACCTGCCAGAAAGCTGTGGTTCCCTTGAGCCCGCTATGCATAATCAGTATGTGAGAATGTCATCTATTTGAAGACATGACCAGAAGAGAAAAAAGGTTAATCTAAGGAATCCAACATGCAAATAATAGGAGTTTTAAAAGACAGAATAGGCAAAATGGTGGTGGGGGGGATCAAAGAAATAACAAGACATTTCTCTAGAATTGAAGGCTGTGAGATTTTAGATTGAAAAAGCTACTATAAATAGCAAAACAAAGCAACCCAAGGCACACAGTCACGACATTTCAGAACACTAGGCTCTCACAGGGTGACATCCCTAAGATAGAGAGACAAAACAGGTCATATCCAAAGGAGTCTAACAGAGTAGCCCCAGAGCAAGAGCATAGCAATGGCAGGTCAGGCCAGGATGGGCTGAGTGGGGCTGGCATTGTTGATCTCTAGTTTTCAAGGCTGATTATTTTCTGGCTAGTTCTTATTTGGGGGGAAACGTGGGTAAATGATTCATGGGCACATACCAAAAAAGACATAAAAGCCAATTTGAAGAGACTCTTACTGGAAAAAACCTGAGATACCGTGAACATCAAATCAAACACTGATAGGAATGGATTATATCTCATGGAAGAGTCTAAACTGAGAGTTAAAAAATACACACTAAGGTTAGATAGGGAAAGCTCTTGTTTACAGATGAATGGCAACTTACAAAAGTGTCAGGAAAGATATACGGCCAGGCAAAGCCTTTGAAAATCTCCATTTCCTCACCACAGCTTTCTCATCTGCAGGACTGACTAGTAAGTATAGAGATTAGGAGATGTATAAAGCACAATTGGCTCATACATGTAATCCTGGCACTGATGGAGGCTGAGACAGGAGGATTCCAAGTTTAAGCCCAGCCTGGGCAACTTAGCAAGATCCTGTCTCAAAGAATAAAAAGGGCTGGCGATGTAGCATATTGGTAGAGTGCCCCTGGGTTGATCCCCAATACCACACACACACACACACACACACACACACACACACACACACAATGGTTGGTGCCATATAGAGGCTGAAAAGCAGTGGTTACCTCACTGGCTCTGCTGAACTCAGTGTAGAAGGTCAATAAATCCTTGCTGAGCTCAGGCATCCTGACCCAAACCGAGGAGAACTCTTGGTGTGGAGAAAGCAACTTCCATTCAGTGTTGAGACATTTTGAGAGAAACCTCTGCAGTGCCACATCTTTCCCAGCTGGAGCAGATACTCCGGCTCTACATCTGTTCTCTCCAAGCCTCCAGCTCCATCTTCTCAAGACACAGTTCTGGCTACGATGGCATTCTCCAGAAACCCTTCCCAGGGTGGTCTGACTGCCCGGTCCCACCTTTCTCCCTGCTCCTGTGTGCATCACACCTGGCTCAGACCGCAGACCACATCCCTGTTGCCCCTGCCTGCATCCTTCAAGCCCAGGGCAAACATTCCATCCTAAAGTGAAGCTTTTCCCAAACCCTGCAGGCATTGTTACCTACCTCTGTCCCACGGTGCTCCTGACTCACCATGGCTGGGTTTTGTTTTCTGGTCATGAGACAGGAGCTCCTGTGTCCTTGTGTGTTGCCATGGTCTCACTCTGTGCTGGGGACTATCACACTTATCTTCAAATGCACGACTTTGCCTTTATTTCGACTTACACTCACCCGGCCAGAAGTAAAAGGCTGATAGTATCCGGTGGACATTCAATAGAGAAGGTAACAGTCATAATGAGGCTGCTTTTTAAAAAATCTTTTTATACTCAGTAAAATATTTTATTTCATGAAAAATATTGTCCCATTTTCAATAGACTATGGCTAAGAGATATACACTGTATTGCAAAATTTGTTTTTTTCAATTTATAACACACAGTTAACACTTAAATATTTATCTGTATTTTGTGCAAAATTATGTGGCGCATGTTACTCAGAGAAACAAGAGAAGCTGATAGTTTGAAACTCTACTGCTGACCTACATCCCCAGCTCCTTTTTGTAATTTTTAATTTTTTCTTTTGGTTTTTCTTTTTTTTTCCTTTTTCTTTTTTTTTTTTTTTGGTACCGGGGATCGAACTCTGGACCTTGCGCTTTCGAGGCAGGTGCCGGAACCACTGAGCTAAATCCCTGGCCCCATCTTTCAGTTTGTCTTGAAACAGGGTCTTGCTATGTACTCCAGGCTGGCCTCCTGCCTCAGCTCTCTAGAGCAGTGGGATTACAGTAATGTGCTACCACACCTGGCCCTTTAATTTTTAACTTTAAAACAGAGTCTTCCTAAGTTGCCCAGGCTGACTTCAAATTTGTGACCCTCCTGCCTCAGCCCCCTTACTCACTGGGGTTGTATGTGTGCACTACCACACCGAGCTATCTTTAATCTTTTTAATGGTATTTTAAATCTTTAAGAAAACATATTAATAAGAAAAAATTTATAAGTATCGGAAAAACTGTACATACTCTATTGACAAAGAAAACACTAAAATTGTGTATTTGTTAAGCCTGATTTGATTTTGATTCTTTTAATCATAACCTATAATTATATAACACAGGCTGGGCATTTATCTACAATGCATGAAGGAAAAAAAGTTTGCTAAGCAAATTAATATAATCAATAAGATAACTTGTGGTACAAAGTTTATGGAAAGGGCAAGTTTCTTTATTCATATAACCTTTGTAATGTTTGCATTGCTCTTTTATCTCATGGTGCCATGACCGTTTCTTTTTCAGACTGCAGCATCAGGCCACAAATTCTAATCCTTCACCATCACATTGTGGGGGGCTCCGTGTGGAAGACCTGACTGTCAGAGCAGACTCTACTACTGGGTGCTCTGCTAATCATCACAGAACCCCAAGAGACAAGCTCAGGTCCTGGACCCTCTGTAAACTGTGTATACTTTGACAAATCACTTAAACTCTATGCTTGTTTTTCATCTGGGAAGCAGAGACTTTTACTAGAAAATAATGAAGTTCTCTCCGCTCCCCCACCCTGGTACCAGGAATCGAACTTGGGACCCTGCACCTGCCAGGCAAGTATGGCACCACTGGGCTACATCTCCACCCCAATCAAGTTCTCTTTTAGCTCTAAAACTAGAATCTAAGCATGGTGATTAGGTACATATACATGGACAATAACAAACAGAAATAAGTTTTATCTATTCCAATGTTTCTAAGTGGCAGTACTTTGAATAGTTAAACTATATCTCTTGTCAAGTAGATCAACAGATTTTTAAAAATCAAATTGATACTCTGTATTTTTTTTTCTAAATGAGAAGTGTATCCCTTGTGTAACTGAATATAGTTGACCATCCATATCCTTGGGGTCCATGTCCATAGATTCAACCAACTATAGGTTGAAAATATAAGTCGTGTCTGTATTGAATATATACAGGCCTTATGCCCTTGTACTGTTCTTTAAGCAACATAGTAGAACAACTATTTATATAGCATTTACATTGTATTAGATGTCATAAGTATATAGAAATGATTTTAAATATATGAGAAGATGTGCATAGCTATATACGAATGGTATGCCATTGTATTATTTTTATTTTTTGTTTTGTCTTTTTTTTCAGTACTAGGAATTGAACTCAGGACCTTGCACTTGCGAAGCAGGTGCGGTGCTACTGAGCTACATCGCCAGCCCGTGGCATGCTGTTTTATATACGGGACTCTGGTGTCCCTAGATGTCGATATCTGTAGGGGTAAGGAAGCCTGAAATAGTTTCTGCTTGGATTACTGAAGGATGATGCATGCATATATCCATATAAAGTCACTGATTTAATTCAGTCTTTGGATTGCAGAACCCCAATATGTTTTTAGCATCTAGATTATTCAAATATATATATATATATATATATATATATATATGAATATATATCACAGCTATAGCCGTGATTAAGAAATATCACTTTAAAAAGAATTTGTGTACAATATTATTAAAATAATAACCGGCAACTGTTAAATACCCTTAATGTTGCAAAACAACTTAGGCTTTGAACAGTGTGAACCCGCAAAAACATACATAGGTAACTAGGTGTGGGATGTACGCTGGAGATGCAGCTATGCCACCCTATCCATGGTTAACGAAGACTCCTCTCACTAGGCCCCAGTTGACACTAGGATGCCACTGGGGGCTCTGAGAAGAGCTAAAGTATCTGCCATGGGAAGAGCCAAGGACACTATGACCTGTTAAAAAGTCTAAAAGAGGAGCCGGGGATTTAGCTCAGTGGTTCTGCCACCTGCCTCGCAAGCGCAAGGTCCTAAGTTCGATCCCCGGTACAAAAAAGAAAAAAAGTCTAAAAGACAGGGAAGAATCTAAACAGATGCAACCAAGACCCCGCAGCTGGAAGAACACAAACGAGCAGGAGGGAAGCCAGGAAGGAGGTGGGCAGGCGGCAGATGGGGCTGGCACGGTGCGCTGGTCCAGTGTGAGTGCTAGACGATGGCATCCTCGCCACTTCCTCAGACAGCAAAGGCAAGAGAGAACGGCAGGCCGGGCGGGCAAGGGAGAGGAGAGACAGAGGAGGAAGCTCCGGGACACAGCGATGTAGGTGGGCGACGTGCGCTCCAGCCGAGGGAGCCTATAGTTTTTACCATCTCAGTTTTCGTTTGGTTTTTATTAGCACGTTTGCAGTACATAATGATTATATTTACCGTGGTGAGTTCTTACATATACATAACACATCTTAATTTTTCTTTTTTTTTTGGTCCTCTAGCCTTATCCTTCTTTTCCTGCTCTTTCCAACTCTCGGGTCCCTGACCATTTGCAAAAGCTCTATTTTCATTGTTTTTCTTCAATTCTTTTATTACAGTCTCCTTTTTCTCTCACCCCCTGCCCCATCTCTCCTTTCCCCATCCATTTGAAAAGATCTTTCTATTCCTATTTAATCTTTTATTTTACTTTATATAGTTTTTGAGTTTCTCATATAAGAGAAACCATGGGATATTTAAATGTGTGTGTCTGATTTATCTCACTTAATAGTATGATTTTAAGGTGTATCCATTCTCCTACAAATGACTCAAGTTTATCTTTCTTTATGGCAGACCAGTATCCATTGTGTGTCAATACACATTTGCTCTATCCATTTACCTGTGGATGGACATAGAGGCCACGTCCAAGGCTTAGCTATTAGGAAGTGGCTGCTATAAACATGGGTGTGCGTGAATCCCCGTAATATGATGATGTTAACTCTGTTGGGAAGATACTTAGAAGGGAGATAGCTGGATCAAATGGAATTTCTAGTTTTAGGGTTTTTTTTTGAGGAACCTCCAAGCTGATTTCCTTAGTGGCTATACTACTTTACATTCCTACTGACAATGGAAAAGGGTTCCTTTTCCCCCACATCATTGCCAGCATTTGTTATTATCTGATTTTCTGACACCAGCCGTTCTTTCTGGAGTAAAATGATATTCCAGTGCTGTTTTAATTTGCATTTCTCTAAGGGCCAGTGTCAATCTTAGTCTCTTAGCATCTGCAAACTGGATATTACAGCCTAGATCATGTGTAGTTTCCTTACTATCTCTTAAATTTGTAAAACCCTGCTATAACAGAGTCTCACATTTTGTTAAGACTTGGTTAAACTGGGAGTGGTGGCACATGCCTGTAATCCCAGCACCCAGGAAGCTGAGGCAGGAGGATTGCCAGGAGTTCGAGGCCAGCCTGAACTGCATAGTGAGTTCAGCGCCACCCTAAGCTACATAGCAAGAACCTGTATCAAAAAGAAGAAGAAGAAGAAGAAGAAGAAGAAGAAGAAGAAGAAGAAGAAGAAGAAGAAGAAGAAGAAGAAGAAGAAGAAGAAGAAGAAATCTTGGTTAGAACATGCACTAATCTAACTTAATTACTTGGGGAACAGAATTTTAGTTTGACTCCTGAACACTTGGTGTCTGGTTTCCTGGGGCCCCTGGAGAGCTCTATTGCTTTCCAACAGGGCGAGTCCTAGGATTCGCACTAGCTGCAGCTTTGTTCTTTTCTCTTTTATTATTTTTTTTTCCAGTACCAGGGGTCAAACTCAGGACCTTCCACTTCCGAGGCAGGCACAGCACCATGGAGCTAAATTCTCAGCCCCATTCTTTTCTCTTTTAAAGGAAAGGTCGGTCTTCCCCACATCCCAGGGCTCCACTCCCTAATCTGGAGAGGAATTCACTGGTCTTTCCCGTCTCTGGTTTCTATGATTCATCAGCTATAGCAACGAGGGTGGGGCAAAAGAAAACAACTCTAGTATTGAGGGAATGTCCCAGTGCAAAAGGAAGGGATTAGAGAAACAGTTAGGATTGTAAAAGAATTAGACAGGGGGTGGGTGGGTGGGGGTTGGGGGTTGCAGAGGGTGGGGTGTGTGTGGCTTAGTGGTGGAGCACTTGATTAATTTGTACAAGGCTCTAGGTTTAATCCCCAGCACTGCAAAAAATAAGAAAGAGAAAAAGCAAACTCACAATTCTCTTAACTCAGAAATATTTCCTAGGATATTTCCTAGGAGGATTACCTATATCTGACATCCCTTACTTTTCCTCTTTAATTTGCAATGACATAAAATTCCTTGTTTTTGACAGTCTTGCTAGATGGTCTGGGCTGGCCTCAAACTTGTGATCTTCCTGACTCAGGGCTGGGATTGCAGGTATGCACCATCAAACTCAGCAAAATTCCTTGTTTATTAATTGTTTCATAAAATTTTTGGAAAAAATGTTTATTCTGATACACATGGAAGCTTGGTTCATTTTGCTCATCCATGTCCCTGACAACGCTGCCAGGATCTACATGTCTATAATCAAGAAACTCCCAAGGCAAATCATCCAATTTCACAAACACTGAATATCCCCTAAATGCCAGGCACCAGGGCCAGACTGCACAACAGATACATAATAAGAAACAAAATAGACAAATAAGCAATCAAAAAAGAAACAGTGACTCCCTCTTAAGGTCTCATGTAAGTACTGTAATTATAATCTGACAAATGTATCAGAAATGAAATCAAAGTGCTACAGAAGCAGAAAAGGAGAATGACTAATCCTGCTAGGGGTAGTTAACCATTATAGAGAAAAGAAATAAGCCATACTGTCTCTGCCTGTGCATTCAGTTGCCCAGAATTATCTGCAGCCATTGCACAACCACGAAACAGGAAATGTAACGTACACCAAAGGCATTGGCATGGGCAGGAAGTGACAATGTAGAGAGGTGTGCCTGTTTATTTTTAAACATGCCATTCAGTATAACATCTGGTAAAGAGAATTGGTCACTAGGGATATGATTAATGCCACCGTTGTGAGAATAGCTTTGAAACTTCTTCACTTAAGTATTTCCCTCAAAACCAAAGATAAAAGGTGGTCACTGCGCAGGAGTTCTGGGCTAAGCCAACGGTCAGGCCAAGCCAAAGCTGGTGACTAAGAGGGAAAGGTCAGTGGGAGGACAGATCACTGCCCACGCCGGGTTTATAGGCACATGAAGCCACCGAGTCCTCAGTTAACATTATTCCATGAACTCAGCAGGATATATTTCCTAGTTTTAAGTAAGTTTGATCATTGGGACAGGAGGTCTACCAGCCCAATCAAGCTTTTAGAGATCTAGAGATATTAAATATTCAAATTCATGTAGTACTCTTCAAAAGTAATTAATGTAGGGGGAAGGATAAAAATGTTCAGAAATGTAGTGGGGTGAAACAGAGTCCTCAGCGATGACTTATCTATGGATAATGAACTTGCATCCCAACAAAAAGGTCTCACAAACCAATGCTACCATGAGCAAGGGACAGCCAAGTGTGCTGTAGTTTCCAGTGAATGACTGCAGCCCCATGCAGGTGTGGATGGATGGGCTAACACGGGGCGGGGCTGTGAGCAGCTCAGTGGTCGAGCACTTGCCTGGTATGCACGAGGCTCTGGGTTCAATCTTCAAAAAAATCAGTCAGTCAGTCAATCAATCTAAGTGTAGATTGCTCATAGTCCCAGGGTAAAGGGGAGGCTGGGGCAGGAAGAGCACCTGAATCTAGGAGTTTGAGGTCAGCCTGAGCAACACAATGAGACTCTTTAAAAAAAGGAGTATGAGGAAAAAAATAGGTATCTCTGTCCCTCCACATTACTATTTAGCTTTAACTGGTACAGCCCCATTGTCCCTCTCAAGGCTGCTGTATGCACTTGACCATTTAAACATTAACATAATATACAATAGACATGGAAACGACATGAGGAGAAGCTCATGCCGGGGCCCACTTCAGCCGGCAGCAGAGGCTTTAGTTTGGGCAGCTGGGCTCAGCTGCTTGACTTGCTTTTCCTTCCTATACCCCAGAATCTAAGTTTTCAAAAGTTACAGGGATTACAAGTTCGAGGTCAGTCTGGGCAACGTAGTTGAGACTCTGTCTCGGGATAAAAAATAAAGCGAGCTGGGGATGTTGGTCAGTGAGAGAGGGCTCCTGGGTTCCATCCCCAGTACTGGAGGAAAAAAAGTCATCCATTATTTTTTAAGCGAGTTTCTTGGGAGGTAACTGACCTTCTCCAGGCTCAGTGTCCGCTTCAAATGAGGTCAGTTCTCTAAAGGAATTTTCGGAAGGGCTCCCTGGATTCCTTCCAGCCCTGTGGCGTGGAGGAAGGAGGGAGAGCGGAGCCCAGCTGTGTGCAGGTCTGTGGGACTGGCCACCTATCACTCGACCTTCGGTGGATTTAGGACCTGCACCTTCATCTCCCCGGCTTGCCTGTATCCTCTCGAATAGAGCTGGCCTGCCTGGAACAAAAGAAACAAGGCTGAGCAGCTTGCTAGGTGAAAGTGATCCCTGCACCCTTAGATTTGTTAAAAAAGCTCCTCCCCTGACCGTCGTGCCTGCAGACTTCCTGGTTTCCCCACTGCCCCCAGCTCTTGTGTTACAGCTGCACTGCCCACTGCTGCCCAGCCCTGCTCCCACCTCCCCTGAAGGAGCTTCTGGTTTCTCCCCATGCCCGCCCTACCAAGGCCCGTGACCCCTTATTCACAGTTCTGCCCTGCCTTAGGCTCCTGTGTTCCCTTTGTCCCAGTGGCACCCTGGCCAGGCCTGTGCCTCCTTGGCTGACCTGCTGTTCCCTTGTGCTGTGTTTGCGTCACCCCAATGTTATCACCCTTTTCCCCTCCGCTTGAAATTCCCTTCACATTGCAGCCCAGATGGCGCCTCTCATTGGTTTGATCTGACAATACAACACATTTATGCAGTGACTCGTGGCCCAAAAGGAATTTCTATATCCATTATTTATTGGGTGGCTACTCTGGCCTGTAGAATATGCTGAGGTGGGGGAGGGGGGTAAATATCTGGATTCTGCAGTTTGGAGAGAGGAGGGATGCAAATTTCGCAAAAGGCAGAGCTGAGTCTACCTCAGTGCTCTCAACTGCCTCCAACAAAGCCCAGCTCTGGACTCAGCCCCCTGGCTTCTCTGCCTCTCCACGTTGCAGCTGACAATCTTAACATTCAGAGACTTCCCCACTGCCCGGCCTGGGCTCCTGGGAGGTGGAAATCTTGGCTGACAGCAAGCTCAGCACTCCCCTGTATGCAAAATGACATTGTGGCCTTAGGCGCTTGGTAAGTTCCACAGTTCTTGCTCCTACAGAGTGCAAGTTTTCTGGCACTGGATGATAGCAATAAAAAGAGCCACACTGAATTAAGGACTGACCTACCACTTTATTAAGCTCCCAGCACACAAGGATATGGAGGCATTCAAGGGCAGGGCCCTGTGATTTCACAATTTCCCTAATTTCTAAACTCAAAAGAAAACTCATTGTGTCATTGTGTGGGACTGCAGACTGGAGCTGGGCAGAACTATTTCCAGCTGCCCACTGCAGCACTTGGGAACTATAATTCACATCCATTTTGCTGGGGCAGAGGCCAGACATTCTTCTTGCAAAATGAGTTCAATTATTTATTTTTCACAATACTAAAAGTGCCCTTTTCATATTTGCTGGGACCCAAGACTAAATGGTTAAAAACAAAACACAAATTCCATGAGATTCAAATAGATATAAAATACAGTGCATCTTTCAGTTGTATAAAAATATTAACATTTTCATTTGATGAAACAAATAGATCTTACTCATTTAATCTGGGTCTATGTCTCAACTTAAAAGAAATCTCAATTCTTTATTGTTGAAGATGCTTTCTGGTTGGGGAAAATCACTTCAGTGCCTCCTAAGGCCTCATGCCTTCCCATCCCACCAGTATTTATGTATTTATCTTTTAAATTGATACTTTAAAATTTTATGGAGTACCATACATTATTTCAATACACATATATGTAGTGCAATGTTCAAGTCAGGGTGAATATAATGTCTATATTCTTATTCGTCATTATTTTTTGTGGTGAATACACTCAAAATTCTTTCTTCTCTTTTCTGAAATATACAGCACATTATTAACTTATTTATTTTGAGATAAAATCTTCCTGTGTAGTTCAGACTGGTCTTGAACTCAGTGTAGCCCAGGCTGGCCTTGAACTCATGGTGATCCTCCTGCCTCAGCCTCCCAAGTGCTGGGATTATAGGCGTGTGCCACCACACCTGGCATATTATTGTCTATATAAATTCTACTATTCATGAGCACACCACACCTTCTTTCTTCTCACCGTAACTGAGTACCTGTTTGCCAACCAACTCTCACTTTCAATGGATAACTTCAGAAGCAAGATACTGTCTCATGAAGAAATATGTAGTCAGTGCAGCTGTTCCTGGACACTATATACTCTTTAGTTATTTGGATTCCCACCAGGCTAAGCTAAAAACCTTACAGGTTGGAGGCAGAAGTTGAAGTTGGATGGGGGCCTGCTGAAACACCAGTTCCCAAAGCTGTGGATGACTATGTTTTCTTGGCACTGGGGAACATTCCTGCAGATGAGGAGGCAGGGAGAGTAGGTGTCTTCTTCCTAGCACTTTAGTGATTGGAGGTGAGTGTGTTGCCATTATTGATGTGTCTGTGCTATTAGAATCACAGACTACATATTCAGGTCCAGACAAGTTTCACCACCAGGCAGAATGTTATTATGGGGTATGACAGAAAAACAGGATGACTGTTTAAATTTGTAAAAGTTTGTTACAGTGACAGACACATTGCTCTTAATGTCCCTCAAAATACTCCTCCCTAGAGTTGAATACACGTGTCCCATGGTTCCTGTCACTTTTTAAAGCAGTTCTGGAGGCCCAGTCTTGGCTGCCTCAGTACCCTGAACTGACTCACACACGTTTACTTTTCACAGTCATGTTGACCTTGGGGGAAGAGCTAGAAGTTGCACCGTGTCGGATCCAGCGAATGCTTTTATGAGCCTGTCTTTCTGTTGGATGGCGCTCGGCAGCAGCATTTGCCATATTTTTGATCAGCTCTCGTATAGACATGAAAGAGGACTTCCAGTACTGGTTCAGAGAGTGGCAAGAACAGGTGTATTCGAAGAGAGAAGAGGGGGGATATTCTGAAGGGTATCAAGGACAATGCGTCTTCTAATATAAATTTTAAAGAAGTAAACATTTATAATATAATTTGATCATCCCTTGTAAGAGGTTTTGAAATATGGTGCTTTCCAAATTGTTAACTCTAACCCGAATTTGTACTTCTTTCGTTGCTCTTAAATGAGCTAGAGAAACATTAAATGAGTTAAGACAGTGTGGTCAAAACGTACCCCAAACATGGAACTTTATTCCTTCTTGAGGGAAGACTTCTGTGGCATTTAATAAATACAAGGGTTTTGTTGTTTGCTTTTTAATTTCTCTCTTTATGCACAACTGGTTGTGGAGCTGTCCTAGAATGGGAGGTTTCAAGCTGAGGTGAAGACAACCCAGCAACACGCAGGTTTATGGGGAGCTCTTAGCGCCATTTCACTCACATCCACTGCACAGATAGAACTCACCGGGGCCTGGGCTCAGTCTCAGGTTAGGAACACAGCTGTAGAAAGATCCCATCATTGCCTGCGAGGAGCTCACTATCTGCTTAGAAATGTAACACACACTAGATACCTGAAAAAGAATAACGTGAGACAATGTCTGACAGAACTTGTGCCATTAAAGTGCAGTAGGGATTTGGAGGAAATACTTTTGGAAGATTGTGTTATAAAGGAAGTTTCATGCTCTAGACCTGAAAAACCAGGAATTTCCTGGTTTCCTCTCTATTACTTTCAACACTTTTGATTTTGTGCCTCTTTGAAACATTTGTTAGACGACAATTTATCTCATCTTTTTTTTTGTCAGTTGGGATGATTCTGGTCCTAAATAACAAAACGCCTACTCAAACTGGCAAACAAACCCACAAAGGAACAAGGTAAGAGAGGCACTGCCTAAAAGAGCTTACAAGTCTAGGGGTCGGAAGAGCTCTAGGTATGGTTCAGTTGGGACTCGAGCTCTGATTCACCGGGTGAATTCCTGGCTTCTTCTTCCACAGCACAGAAGGATCTTCAGGGTAGCATCTGTCCTCAAAACCTGCCCCGGCAGCACCAGGTGTGCCTACGGTGGCCTTTGCTCACCCCAGAGAGAGTGCTTCGTCTCACAGAGTGCTGGGATTCCTAGTGACTGGACACATCCTTAAATCACTCCTGAGTCTAAGAGGTTTACTGGTACTGACTGGTATTCATCAGGGTTACCACAGAAACCACCAGACGCCACGCAGGGAGCTGGAAGTAGGGTCAGTTTCACCCATACTTCAGGGCAGCAACACAAGGGATGGAACGGACGGGTGCTTCAGGGGGTGGGGGGGAGTGAGTGACCCTCTCCAGGTATACCCAGCATCCTGACCTTACTTTCTGCCTCTGTCTCATGGCCCCTCCCCCAGGGCTCCCAACTGGTTTCTAGCAATAATTATCCCTTCCATTTGCAACTTTGTGTTGTATCATGTGACAGACTATTTCCCCAAATTAGTAAACTTGGACAAGTTCACACCATTCTGAAAACAAAAACAGAACTCCTGGGTTCTCCTGCCGTTAGTGTCCTACCTTCCATTCCATACACTTCTCCAAACGGCCTCTGCATGCTCCCCGACTCCTTCCTTATCTAAGTCCACTCAGTTCCTGCCTGCTCTAAGTGCACTGTCTCACTCCACTGTGATCTGTGGATGGGCCAATCCAATAGTCTTCATTCTCTGTAACCTCCCTATAAGACCTCTCACTGGGAACAATACCCTTTAAAAATGTCTGCATCTTGAATAATCTTAAACGTAGACATGTTGCAGAAATATTTCATTTAACTCCTATATATCTGTCATCAAGCCTAAGTGTTAACATTTCTCTGTCTAAATCTTCCAATTTTTAAGACGGTGCCTCTTCATGTAGTTCAGGCTGCTCTTGAATTCACTATGTAGCCCAGGTTCTCCTCAAACTTTCGACAATCCTTCTGCCTCAGCTTCCTGAGTGCTGGGATTGAAGGTGTGCGCCACTATGCCTGGCTTAAATCTTCCAATTTCAAAATGAGTTGCAGACATAATAGCCCAGGACCAATTCATACTTTGGCTTCCTTTTTCCCATCATTTACAATGTATTTATTTTGTTGCTTAATTAATCTAGTATGCAACTTAGTTACTTTCTTGTTTCTGAAACATAATACCTGACATCCACAATTTAAAGGAGGAAAGTTTTATTTTGGCTCAGTTTGTAGAGGTTTTGGTCCATAGTTCACTGGCTCCAAGGCAGGACTGCCTGGCAGAGGGGCATGGCGGAGGTCAGCTGCTCACAGCATGGGGGATAGGAAGTAGAGAGATCTAGAGAAGAGACAAGGAGAAAAACCATTCCAGGCCACGCCCCCAGAGAGCCACCTCTTCTGATCAGACCCCACCTCCTAACAGCAAGTCAGCTATAGGGCCCCCATGGGCTGATCACCTTCCAAAAGCTCTACTGTGAGCACATGAGTCTTTGGGGGACATTTTAGATTTAAACCGTAACTGTCTGAATCCTACCATGCAGAGGGCCTGGGGTCAGCATGTATCTCAGTGAAGTATTGGTGGTATTTGAGAAATATGGCATAATTTTAAAAGCAATGGATTGAAAAGCAGAAAAAATATATCCTGGTCTAAGCTCTCCTACTACCAGCTTAAGGACTATGGTAGATTTCTGCAAAGATGGTTACCAATAATTCTTTCCTGCCATCTGAACACATCACTCCTTTTTTCAAGGGGTAGAGGGAGGGACTGGAAACCCACGGAATTAGTGTGGTTCTTAAGACTAATGTGTATGGCCTCTGGCCTCTCCTGATCTGTGAGATTAGAAACAGTTCTTGCCAACACCCCCAAGAAATGCATTCTCCTGAAAAGGGAAGGAGAATTTCAGGCTGCTCATCACAGAACCTTTAGGGTTTTTTTGTTTGTTTTTTTTCGGTACCGGGGATCGAACTCGGGTACTTGTGCTTGCGAAGCAGGCGGCGAAACCACTGAGCTAAATCTCCGGCCCTAGGGTTCTTCACTTTCAGAACAAAAGTCAATTTATGCTCAGGCTTTTCACTCCAATCTGTAGAGAATTAACCAGGTTATACCAGGCATGTACAGCAATAAAACAAGAAAACCTTTCATAGCTCATCTGATCACTTTTTACACTTGATCTCAGCCAAGAAGCGATCATTTGATTGTGTTTTCACAACCGTTCATACATATATTGAAAGCAAGCATCTGCCAAGGTGAACCTGACTGACTCTGTAATGTGGCAATCTAGAGATCTGTCTTAGAAACAAACACAGGTCTGGGCCTCAGAGCCTTAAAGTTTGTTTGGAAGGTCAGACCCAAACTCCACATATATACCTCCTAAGGGTGTCTGCTCTTCTGTTCCTTGATAAATAGTCTGGACATTAGCCAAGGGAACACACCAAGAATGAAGGATTATTGAAAAGCATCCTCTTTATTTGTACAACTCGATGAGCAACTTAATAAACCTTCAGGTCAAATACTTTAAAAAGGTTTTATGAGAAGTACCACCTACTTATAATGCATAGCTAACCTATTAATATCTTTACTTTGAGTCCACTGGGAATTGCAGGTACAGCATGTTGATAGTAAAATATTAAAAATAATTGTTCTTTCCCCTCTCTGCACTCTAAACTCGCTCTTGCCTGCATTTTGAATGTGTTCATGGTGTCCACACCTAGGGTCTAAGTAGAACAGGGAATTAAACTTCCTTTGTAGTTGAAGAGGTTTAAATCATGAAACTATTTCCCAAGTTTTGCTGATCAGCTGACAATGAATAATTTGTTTTGAACCCACATTCTATTTCTTTTCTTTTTTGGTACCGGGATCGAACTTGGGACCTTGCGCTTGTGAGGCAGGCTGAGGAACCACTGAGCTAAATCCCCCGAACCCCATGTTCTATTTCTTCCTTTACGTTTATGAATCTGGCATGCATACTAGCCACTGTAATGAAACTTCAACTAAACTACTATGGTTTCCCTTTGAGGCTCAATTTATGACTCTTTTCTTATTCCACTCACTCCTGCTGAGTAATCTGACCTTCCCTCTGCTGTGATTTCAATCACCACACACTGACCAATGACTCCTAACTCTGTATTGATAAAGCATCTCCTTTGAGATCAAGACTCAAATTATTAACTCTCTTTGATACAAACAGCTATTTCTACCTCAGATTTAACATGTTGGTAGTAATCTGAAAGAACTTCTTTCTCTTCTATTCTAAACCTAATTCTTCTACATCCCTCAAATGTTAGTGGCCTGTGTGGTGGTTTAAAGATACATTCATAAATTGTTTTCGTATTCCTCCCTTCAAGAGGTGGAGGCAGGAGGATTGCTGTGAGTTTGAAGCCAGCCTGGCTTCAAACAGAGGGACCCTGTCTTAAAAAACAAGAAAAAGACTGTGGACTTAGTAACTTGTTTCAAACAAGAATATGGCAGAAGTCAATGTCTGACTTCTAGGACTAGGTCAAAAGTTGGCCAGGCTTCCTCCTGGGACTGTTCTCTATGGTGAAGTCAGCTGCCACCTAAGCACATCTAGGGGGAGTCCCCCGCATTGAGGATGTAGAGCAAGAAACCAAGGTCTTCCCCTGCACCAGTCCAGGAAGCCCTCCTGGAAGTGGGTGCTCTCACCCAACTTGAGTACTCATGTGACTGCAGCCCCTGCCCACAGCTGACTGCAACTTAACGAGACGCCTTGGGCTAGAGGCAACCAGACTTCTGACTTGTATAAGCTGTGAGGTAACAAATATTTATTGGGTTAAATAGCTAAAGTTTTGGAGTAACTTAGTACTCAACAAATTGGTTAAATAACCAATATAGTGCCCAAACCCAGAATACAAAGAGTAGAAACGGTTAAAGGGAAATGAGCATTTGAATCGAACTCTCTCTCCACTCTAACCACACTTCTCCCATTTCCTCAGTGAATGACACACCATCAGTTACCCCGTATCCCAAATGGGACACCTAGAAGCCGCACACGTGGAGTTGTCATCACTCCCTTCGGTATCACTTGAGCCTACCCCTCCTCTCACTGCTCTAACTCTGGCTTTACCATTTTCCAATTTCTACCACGCAGCATTCCGACTTTTCTCCTCCCTGCAATGTTTCGCAGCACCACTGCATTCTCTAGAACTAGAGCTTTTCCCAACATATGTTTGATCCTGTTGTTCATTTATTAAACTCCACTACTGGTTCCTACACTGCACAGGACAAAATTCAGATGTCTTGGCATGTCATGTCTGTCTCTGTCCTGTAGTTCCCTTTCACCTCCCATGTTCACAGCCTCTAATCTGGCTGCTCTTCACTGTTTCATATGTTGTATGCTTTCTTCATGAAAATCTTTCATTCTTCCCTTATAACTCTTACTCACCCACCCGCCCCCACCCCCTGCCCAGTATGGGATTGAACCCAGGGGTACTCTGCCACCGGGCTACATTCTCAGCCCTTTTTATTTGGAGGCAGAGTGTCACTAAGTAGTCCAGGCTGCCCTTGCTTTTCCTGCCTCAGCCTTCTAAGTAGCTGGGAGCTCAGGCACACACCACTGGTCCCAGCTTGACTTCCTCATACTACTTTATCAGAGCACCTAGCACATAATCAGTGTAGTGTCTTGCAGTAGAATGTGAGCTTATAGGGGAAAAAATATCTATCCTCCATAGCGACATATTTATTTATACATACATACAAGGTGTGTCTTTGGAGCAAGTACTTAACAGGCACTACGCTAGGTGTGTATTACTTAATAGTGAGCACAACAGACATACACCTGTCCTCCCAGAGTTTACTGTCTATTCAAGAAAGAAATAAGTCTGAGGTCAGGAAAAAGAATGTTATGAGATGGTAACAGCGAGGACCTACTTCAGATTGCAAAGTGCATGGCTACTCAGACACTTCCTGAATTAGACTGTTTTCCAGGATGTTTATACAAATTAGACTTTCACCACTGAGGTGTATGTGGTAGGATCATCTCAGCCTGATGTCTGATTTTATTTTATTTTTTAAATTCAAAAAATTTTTTTTTAATTTTTAATTTTAATTTTTTTAATGGTACAGGGGATCAAACTCAAGACCTTGCATTTGCAAGGCAGGCACAGTGCCACTGATCTAAATCCCCAGCCCATGATTTTATTTTTAAAACATCTTTACTAATACTGTCAGTCATACTTTTGCTTATAAATTCTCTATGCTAAAAATCAAGAAAAATAATATAAGGCATGATTAAATACATGTTGTAAACAGAGGCTTAATGAAGCCCAAGTAGAGACAGACTAGCTTTTATATTATTAGGGTTACTTAAATGTATAACTTAGATAATTTAAAAATAATGTCTTACAAGATCACACGTGTTGCTATGTAAAAATTGTTGAAAAAAGAAAACCAACCAAAAAAACCCAAAAGGTAAAAACAAAACAAAACAAAACAACAACAAAAAACAAAAGGTACATCTCTCCGGCACTGAGAAATCTGAAGTAATCATCGTTCAGCCTGAATTCCCATGGAGCCCCTGCCTCTCTCGTAGCTTGCTGCCAAGTGATTCACCGCTAAAACATTCCTGGGATATGTGGAGGAGAGCATGTTTTTTAAAAAAAATTCTAAGTGTTTTTAAAAAGAGAATGGCAGGATAAGAAAATATTAAAATACATAAAACTTTTTGTACTAATAATTATTCATATTTTATAATCAACTAAAAATATTCAAAACAAAACTTGATAGTTACAGATAAAAATTTTCAACTGTTACTTATCATACCTGAGAAGATTTTTTAGGCCTAATTTCTTACATTACACAGAACCTATAAAAAATTCCCCGAACAACACAGATACTGCCTTGGATTACAAAATTTGTATTTTACAACTGACACTAATTGTTTTAGTGTACATGAAAGAGTGGGGTGCCAAAATTCAACAGGTCTGCGTCCATAAAGTCCAAATTAGCTACAGGAACACTGGCAGATCCCGATGTCTTCTGAACCTGTGGCCCTGGAAAACCTGATTTAACAGATGAGGCAAATACAGCTTATACTTTATATGACACCAACCATGCTGGCTGGAAAAGTAAAGGATGATTTCTGGAGACTCCCTTGCCTCTGTGTCACAGGGTACTGCGATACTCAGCTGGAATCCGCGCCAAGAAACCTCTGCTTGTTGCCAAACCTGTTAGACGGCAGACGTTTTTTTCCCCCTGACAAACGGATGGTTGCCCAACATGAAAATGCTAATTTGTGACTTTTCAGAGGAAGGAAGTATTTTGTTTTTACTTTTGATGTCCGCAATATAATTTCAACAGGTTTTCAGGGCATTACCTTTATTAATGTGCAATCATCATCACTTTAAGTAGTATAAAAAACTCAAACTCAGTCAGAGACAAGGTTTACAACACTCATAATTATTTCTGGCAGTGGCAATATTTCACCTTTTGATCTGCAGAGTATGATACAACTCAAATTACTGACATAATACATAATGATAAATGTTCCTTTAAAAAAACAAATTATTTTCCTACTTACAATTTTTCAGGAAGGTCTACTATAAAAATACTTCTCTTCTTTATTTCCCTGCCATGATAAAGTGAAACCATACCTAGCTCCTCGGTCAGGCTTAAGGGTGAAGAGCGCACCACCCCGAGTCAGTGCAAACATTCCTCCACTCAGCCCACACATTTTTTTCAAGGCACTCTGGACTCTTAAAGGTACCAAAAAGAAAAATGCTCCTCTCTCCAACTGCTCTTTTGGGCACACTTCCCCTCAAACTTTTCAAAACTAAACAATTGTTCCACCGGGTTTTTGTGAAATTTAATTTTCCATGTCATAGCCCTTAAGTTATTTTTCTTTTATTTGAAGCCACTCCTTCATTTTCAACTTGCTGAGCAGGCAAACAACTGCCTCTGGTTTCCACGGAAACTGGATTCCTGCGGCTGTGGGTAGGCATTCTTGTTCCAGCAACCTGAGAGATGAAGTGGAGAGCAGAGGAGAGAGTGTATTTACAACCTGTACACAGTCAGCTCCACACTGTTTACACACGTCCCCCATCCAAGCACTAACCAGGCCCGACCCTGCTTAGCTTCCGAGATCAGACGAGGTCGGGCGCGTTCAGGGTGCTATGGCTGTAGACACATGTCCTAACCATCTTGGCAAGCATCCACTTTAAGTTTTAACCCCCAGGCACCTGGATGTTTCTAAAGTTTTAATCTGATACAATTTTAAAATACTAAACTTTCAGGGAAGGAGATGGACCAGAGTAGAGAAGTGAACAGGAAAACTACTCCTCTTTGTTAAATTTTGAAGAAGCTGAAATGTTAAGTTAGAAAGCGAGGGAATGCCAGGCCTTTATGGTAATGTATTTGCAATGACTGTGCTGAAGGACAAGAAAAAGGAAGAAATGAGAAACATGGAGTCAGGGGAAACAAATACAAGCAGGACAGAAGGAGTGAAGAGGAAGAAGAAATTTCATGCACAAAACAGGAGGGCAGCTGCTAAGAGCAAAAAGCTAAAGAAAAGGAAAGCAACCGGAGAGGACAATGAAAAAAGAATAAATATGAAAGAACAAAAGGAGGAGGAGCCAGAAGAGCCAGAGTAAGAAGGAAAAACCGAGGGGCTGAAAGAGAACAAGAAACAAGCAAGAGGAAGGCGGAAGTGGGACAGGGTGCAGAGGAAGGCCGGGAGGAGGAAGGAGGCCCCACTGCGGTGCTGTCCACCTCCTGGCCCTCCCCTCTCGGCCCTCACCCACGAGGTCTGAGGAAACACCGCTCTCAGCACGCAGTCCCTGCTCATCACACACATGGTGTTTCAAGATGAGATCTGGAAACGCTGCCGTGTCCGGGCCACCGAGATTGGCAGAAGGGTAAGGTAACAAAGGTGGCCAGGCCTTGAAGAGAAGCCCAGCCATCTCCACAGCCCCTGCCCTCCTCGCTTGCCTTGCACTAGCTGCCCTGCACCCGTCTCTCCACAGCTGGAGTCTGTACAGTAAGCAAGCACTCTCTAGTAATCCCAGCCTGACGCGACAGGACTGGCTGCTGGAAGGGCTGCTAGCTCACCAGGAGTAGAGCAGACCACAGCGTCCCTCACCTGTCAGCTAATACCTCCAAGGGACATTTGCGGTTGAATATTACACGACTAGAAAGGATAGACTTTTACTGGGGGGTGCAGTCTGAGACAGGGTCTCGCTATGTAGTCCAGGCTGGCCTCCAACTTGCAGTGATCCTCTTGCCTCAGCCTCCAGGGGGCAGGGATTAGACATGTGTCACCACACCAGGCTAGGAAGGACAAACTTGAATAGAGATTTGAACCTGACACTTTGTCGGACTGAGGAACATTTGTAATATTCTGATTAGATAAGTGCTAGGATTTTTAGACATAGTTTCACTCTCCATTCAGCTGGTATTTCCTATAAATGTAAACTGACCATGGTGGTTGTATTTGCTATAACTTTGAGGAAAGCAAGCATTCTGATTTCCACTGCAAGACTATGTGTGTCATCAATGTTTATTACAAAAGTTGCAAAAAGAAGACAGGGCTAAGTACGAAACTGCTGCAGAAAGGCTGGAAGCAGAAGTCAGAAACAGCACAGGAAGCAGGAGACTCGGGTGCCACTGCTCCAGGGGGCACAGTCTGCCCAGGGTTAGTGCCCGAGGCACTGTACACAGGTGCGCTCTGCTTTCTAGGCACTAAGGGATCACAACAGGGACACAACACTTGTAAAATGAGTCTTCATACTAGGAAATATGCAGATGATTTCTGTTTCATACAGGATCTTACTTCCCTAGTCTGTGGAAAGCTCTGATCTCTCCCTTGTGCCAAGGGCTAAGCTTAGAATCCCTCTTGGTGTTTAGCTTGGTGGCTGGGATTCGAAAGACTTGTTTCTGTGGCCTGCTGAGAAGGAGGCAGGAAGGCAGAGTACTCCACACTAAATGTAGGAGTAGATTGTGAGGAAGTACATAGATCATCACCAAAAACTTTCCACTGGCTTTCAAAAATACATCCAACCTCGAATTAGTTATTTAACTGTCTACTATAACGAATGCTGGGCTGTACCACAACCTGGTCCTAGATAAACTCACTAAATATTTGACCCTGGGCTGATGGCATTAAGCATCTTGAAAAATACAAATCAACAAGGGCTCAATGATATACACATAATGAATTATGTACTAAAATCTGTATTTATGTGGCTGATCCTGAACATAAATTATTTCTTTTTCCAAATAAAGCACTCAATATTATTTTAGAATCAATCTATATCAATAAGGAAAGTATATTATTCATTTGTTTCTTAAAAGCATCTTGTATGTATTTTCCTTTCCAGTTACAGATGTTTAGTGCCAAAGTACTACACTGTTGATTTTCACTGACAAGGAGTAAGCCTCCCCCCCACAAAATTACATGTTACAGTTGAGAGACTATAATCAGTGTTTCTAAATTAAAAGAAAGTCATTCTCCCAGAAAGAATGGAAAGAAATCTTTCGAAAATAGTTCGGCCATTATTATTTTTAAGTTACTTAAAGGTTTTTTTTTTAAGGAATTTACAAAAATCACTCCTGACGTGTATATAGTAGAAACAGTCAACCAACACTGTAGATGAAATAACCTAAGCTGTGGACTATTAACTCCCTTTATTCTTACATGTGTCTCACCTAGTTAAGCAGTTATACTTTCTTGGCAGGGTTAGCCAGGAATGTGCAAGCAGCTCAGTGGTGGGGGCCTGCTTAGCACGCAAGGCCAGGCACCAGACTCGATCCCCAGTACAAAAGGTAAATCCATAAAAATGAATGGGCCCCCAAAGAGTACCACTAGGGTGGAGAACTGAAAAGTACAAACCACCTTATTCACTAAGTTGAGGGTCCTCAGTATATCTATTTCTCATCAGGTCCCAAGGACATTTACTGAGTCAGAATAATTAGAAAACAAAAAAGAACAGAACATCTCAAGGATACACATGTGAGATGCTCTGAAGCAACCACACTGACAAGGCTGCAGAGCTCACACAGTAGTTTTGACTCAAGGAGTTTTTGGCAGCAGGGAAGGAAAATTCACTGTGTTTTAAAACTGTTTCCTGACCACTCAGATTCATTTGTAGACAGTAAAATTTTTCCTACAACTAAACTCAAACTGGAATTTCTTACATGATACGGAGAATGATAACATGGTAGAGAATATCTTTAACCAAGGCTTTACAAATTTCTTTTTTTTTTTTTTTGGTTTTTGAGACAGGGTCTCACTTTATAGTTCAGGCTGCCCTTGAACTCACTATGTAGCTCAGGCTGGCCTTGAACTCACGGTGATCCTCCTGCCTCAGTCTCCTGAGTGCTGGGATTACAGGCGTGCACCACCATACCTGGCCACAAATTTCAATAAAGAAATGTGATTCAGTTGGCATTTCTGAGAAGGATTTTACAGATTAACATTAATTATAATTCAATAAATATTGAGTTAGATAATACTCAGCAAAACACAATTTAGCTTTTAATACTTTAGCTGTTTTTAATTTTTTTTTTTTTTGGTGCAGGGTGTCAAACCCGGGGCCTCATGCATACTAGGCAAGCACTCTACTGCTGAGCTACATCTCCAAACCCTCTTGTTGCATTTTTAAAAAGGTGCTCCATTTACTAATAACTCATACTTGGCTTTAAATTTTTCAGCATCTACTAATCACTTTTTAATTGCATCATAATTACATAACATCTTAGGCATTCTTTTGCAAATTCCTTCAAATATTTAATAACATTCAACAGAATATATGTAAATAAAAATTATCAACCCCCCCTTTCCTTTTTTTCTATACCGGCGATCGAACTCGGGTCCTTGAGCTTGCACAGCAGGCAGCGAAACCAGAGCTAAATCCCTGGCCCCCCCCTTTCCTTTTAATAAGAACGTAAGGGTTTAACTATGTGAATGCAATATCTATGCACCCATGGGGCAAGCTAACAGATCTATCTTTGGCTGATTTACAGACTTTACAAAAATAGAAAGTTTCAGGGTTGGGGATTTAGCTCAGTGGTTCTGGAGCCTGCCTTGCAAGCCCAAGGTCCCAAGTTCAATCCCTGGTACCAAAAAAAAAACAAAGTTCCATGGACAAAAAGACGGACTCTGCAGCACACACAACTTTATCTACTTTTCCTATGGACACAGGTTTAAGAAAGATGCTATGATTAAGACGGCAGATGAGGACATCAGGTTGAAATATAGTCAGTGAAACAGATTAATAATAGAACCTTTGATTTTTAAAAAAGGTCTTACCTTCTGGGATGGTGTAGGACTGGCGGATTTTGGTGGAAAAGTACAAGGTATCCGTCCATGATGGATGTGATATGGGAGCAGGAGACTGGGGTCTAAGGGGACCCAGGGGACTGAGAGGCTGGAAGGCACACCAGGAAGGTCGCAATGTGTTTTGTGCAGGTTATATGCTGTCCTTGTAACTTTTCCATCTGAGGTCTTGTAGATCAGGAGCGAAGAATCTTCTGCTGCATGAGACAACAGGTACGAGCCCTCCTGCAAGCTAAATCCACACCAGAACTCAGGTCGCTGGCTCACTGTGTTAGCTTCAACAGCACTTTTCTTTTTCTTTTCTTTTTTCTTTTTGGTACTGGGGATCGAACTTGGGACCTTGCACTTGTGAGGCAGGTGCCAGTACCACTGAGTTAAATCCCCGGCCAACAGCACCTTTCTTAATCATCGCCTATCAGTAAATCTAAAACAATGGCAGGAGTAGAACACCACCTCTAAAAATACTTCTATGAACAATAAAAGTACAAAGATCTAAGAAGTTTTAAAAACTATTACAATGCCTTTTAGAGAATATCTCATCATTTTCTTTCTTTACTATTATCAGTCTGTCAATTTTCAGTCACAATGGAAAAACAAATAGTGTGTCTAATTATCTATGAAGAAGAGAAACTTATACGACTGTAATATTTTTATTCATTCAATGTTGAACCTATTTTGTACCTAATCATAGGTGAATAGATACAAAAGTGAGAGTGACATACTACTACATGGAGTACTTTTTCTTTTCTTGTTTTTAAAAAAAATTTTTTTAGGCAGATTTTCACTTTGTAGTTCAGGCTGGCCTTGAACTTACTATGTAGTCCAGGATGGCCTCAAATTCACAGCGATCTTCCTGCCTCAGTCTCCCCAATGCTGGGATTACAAGCATGCACCACCACACCTGGCCTACATCGAATACTTTAAAGTGGCAGAAACAGTCAGTGGAACAGTCACAATACAGTCTGAGGAATTACGAAGATATATATCATAGTAACAATTGCAGCTAACAGTTACTGAATGTTTGTCATGAGCTAACCACTGTTAATGCTGCTTCAAATCCATTTTTGCATTAAGTCCACTACAGTAAACTTTTCAGGCACAGTATTAATTACTGACTCCATACTGGAGATAAATAAACAAAAGAGAGACGCTAAGTAATTTGCCCAAAGTTCTGAGTATAGTAGGGCTTGGATATAAATCCAGGCAGACAAACTCCACAAGCCATATCCTTAAATATGATACTGTCAAAATAATTAGTTATGTCATATATCCAATCAACATTTTTCTTTCCTTCTTAGAAAGCTTTAAGGGATTCAATGTATCACCATAAAGAGGTAAAGGGATATGATTAATATACTGTGCTTTCTTGGGATTATACATTTCTCCGGATCAAAGAGGCAAAGGAGAACAGTTCTTCCCTACATTATTAAAAGTAAAGATTAATCACATTTTAGCTATATAGATCTGCCTACAAACTTTGTAAATTATATTTTCATTAATTTTTTAAGCCAAAAAGTAACAAGTGTTGACAAAGGAGGTTCACAGAATTATCTTCTGGGGAATTTTTTTTCAATCACTTTCATATAAGAAAATGAATAATAATCAATTTGTTAGTAGGAATAAATAACCTTTCAAAGAGTGAGCTTTTATCTATGAAAAGCATGTATCTTAACTACCATTATGAAAAATGAAGAAAAGCTGGTTTACAATTTTTTATTTTTTGAGATACAGTTTTGCTATCTTGTTCAGGCTGGTACCCCCTGCCCCATACTAGGGATTGAACTCAGGACCTTATGCTTGCCAGGCAGGCACAGTGCCACTGAGCTACATCCCCAGCCCTCAGGCTCGTCTTGAACCCCTGGTCTGAAGCAATCCTCCCACCTCAGCCTCCTGAATAGCTGGCACTATAGGCATAGGATGTTGTGCCTAGCTCCTGGGAAATGAAGTTAATGGATGGAGAATGAGACACTCCGGAGAGTAACTTACAAGTACCATGTAAGCGTAAAGTACATGAATAAACTATAGGAGGCGGAATAATGGCTTCCTAAAAATGTTATGTCCCAAACCTTAGGACCTGTGAATATGTTATCTTGTATGACACAGGAGAATTGAGGTAGCAAATGGATTTAGGTTGCTTGTTAGCTGACTTTAAAATGGTCAGATTTTCCTGGATTATCTGGGTGGGCCCAAAGTAATCACAAGACTGCTTTAATGTAGAAGAGGGAGGCAGAAGTGACTCACAGAGACGTTAACTGTAGCAGAGGTCCAGTGGTTTGATGTGGGAGCTCAACTGGACTTTTTAACTCTGAGGCTGAGAGCTGCAAACCAAGGAACACAGGTGGCCTCTAGAAGCTACAAAGGGCAAGGAAACAGACCCTTCCTGGGGCCTAGGAAAGCAGCCAAACCCATACCCTGACCTGTTAGTGAGACCTGTTAGCTCTTAGGATCTATAGAATTGCAACAATTGTGGTTTTTTTTTTACTACACTCATCTTATGGTACTTCACATGAAGAACAGAATACATAAAATAAAAATTCTGCCACGGAGTCTCACACTTGAAAAGTACTTAGGCAACTATTGCATCTGACACTATCATCTTATTTATAAATCAGGAAACTGATGTCTAGTTACATAAGATAAGTGGAGATTTAGAACTCAAACTTGGAGATTTTAAGTTCAGACATTGGAACTGATTTCTACTTTATCTTTCTGTAAGGGACTAAGACAAGATATGCAAAACTCTTTAACAGTCTGATAAATGATCAGATGGAGAATTCATATTCTAAAATGTGTCATGGACATAATAATTTTGGGCTCCTTGCTCTATGCTGCTTCTTTATATTGAAAAATCCCACTATAACTATGGTAGACTGAATACTGGTCACACATGATGCTCACAATGGTTACATACAGATCTCTCTGACGGATGAATACATCACTTTTAATGGCTTTGGAAATGTGATCAGGTTAAGGGTTCTGAGATAACACTGATGTCCTGGAGTATCTGGGTATGGACTAATGGACTCACAAGAGTCCTAATCAGAAGCAGGCTAAGGAAAATACAAGAGAGGAGAAGGCAATGCGGTGTGGATGCTGAGACTTGAGTGATGTACTCTGAAGATGAAGGGAGGAGCTGCAAGCCCAGGAGTACTCCTGGCCGCTAGAAACAGAAAAATGCAAGGAATCGATTCTTCCCTTAGCGCCTCTAGAAGGAACCAGTCCTGATGATACCTTGACTTTAGCCCAGTGGATTTCTGGTCTCCAAAACTATAGCATAACTTTTTATTGGTTAGTGTAAGCCAAGTTAGTAATTTGTCAACTGGCAATAGGAAATTAATACAATAATCTTCTAGGAAAATATATTTGCAAGCTCATTAAAACCACATACTACTGTAGGCAGGGGATTTAGCTCAGTGGTGCCACTGCCTGACTCGGAAGTGGAAGGTCCTGAGTTCAATACCCAGTACTCCCACCCCCCAAAAAAACACATACTACAGTACTATCTTTTTACGTAGATTTTTACAATTTTAGCTTGACAAAATAATTTTTTTTTTTTGGTACCGGGGATTGAACTCGGGTCCCTGCGCCTGCATAGCAGGTGGCGAAACCACTGAGCTAAATCCCTGGCCCCGACAAAATAATTCTTGCTTTTCCACTTTTACTCTATCCCTGAAGCATATTTTCAAAGTTTCTAAGAATGTTCATCTCAGACAATCATATAGATTAATGTAAAAATGTCCAAAAAATACTTACCTACTTAACTTTTTCAGAATGTGTTGGAGGACGTTAAATAAACTTGAAATCCTATTAAACAGAAGAAATTAATGCAATATTAAACTAAAAAACCTTACTCTTTAACAACTATAGGATCTCAGCCATAGCAATGACCTCATTAACAAACGCAAATGGCAGATGAGCGGCAGCTGAGATGACATAAAGGCTACAATCCCATAAAAGATACGCAAAGGGTCAGTGTGTGATGGCAGAGAGGCCAGTGGCTGGGGACACCCTAAAGAGAAAACGAAATGCTCTAAATACTTCTTTACTTCTTCTAGATCTAGATTTAGTCCCTTTATTATTTCTCATTTTAAAAATAATTTTCATTGAGAGAATTGAGGCAAGTACTGAGTAGGGTATGGAAGAGTGTTTCTATTTACACATGTAAAGAAAAGTTACCACCCCAGAAAAGCAATATTCTTATAAATAGAATATTTATTCTTATAAATAGAAGTGAACATATTTAAGTATGAGCAGAGGGTTTAAGTTTGAATCTGAGCTTCTTAAATAACTGTTGCGTCTCAAAACTGGAAATATGCAGCAAGTATAAGTTCAGACAACCTCTCACCCTCAGCAGTAAATTAAGCACTTTAACTACGAAGACTGTTCTGCTACTAACTCAGCTGTCTGCTCTGGGGTAAGTCACTAAAAGTCTCAGATTCCTCATATACAAAATGGAAATGACACTACCGCCAGCGTTTCATAAGTTGTGAGGCACAAATGAGATAATATTCATAAATTATTTTCCCTTGCGTTTGAGCACTTAAGAGTTCTGAGTACAATACATTCATTTAGTTTTGCTGTACAAGAATGCTTAGGTAAAACTGTCCAAATTAATGCACCCAATCCTAAGAGCTGAGATCTACGACTGTCCTCGCCTTTCCTGCTCTGACAAAGGCAGAATGTTTGTGTCCAGCGCACATCAAGGTGGTAGCTACTTTCTGGCTCCAGTCTCTCTCGCGTGTTAAGTAGGAAGACTTGGTGATATCAGCATTACATTCAGTTTGGAATTGAGGACAATTCATATGGATAGATCACAAGTGGAGTCAATGTATGAAATGATCCAAAGTATTAAAACTAAATTATTTAAACTTAACTAATATTCAGATATAAAGGATAGTGATTATATTAACAAGTTTTTCCAATTTCCACCACAAAGCAAACTTTCTTACTTGAGTGCTGAAAGCTTTTCTTTTAATTCTTCAGAGGTAATTTCTTCTAGGAGAAAAAGCTTTGAAGTAAATGCATCAATATGTCCTAAAAGAAAATATCAAACTTAAAAAAAAGCAGTCACAGTATTTATTTATTTATTTTTATTTTTGGTACCGGGGATCGAACTCGGGTCCTTAGCTTGTGAGGCAGGAGGTGGAACCACTGAGCTAAATCCCCGGCCCAGTCACAGTATTTAAAAAACAAAACCCCATCAAGCTATTTAGCCTCCTTAAAGATGTTTTTCATAAAATTTTAATGACTGTAAAGGAATTTTATATTCTAAAAGGAGAATACATATTGTCTTTCAAGCAAAGCTATATCTTAAAATAATATAAAGTTCAAATTATAAAAGGAATATGGATTCATTCTAAAATATTTTCTGACTGTAGAAAAGTTCGCACACGTCCACACAAACAAAATAATCTCTAGCCCTACAATTTAAGAATCATAGCTGTTTAAGCATTAGTGTTTCCAATTTTTAGAAGTGTTGCATTTTTATGCAGTTCTTTTAAGGTTTGTTTATTTTTATTTTTATTTTATTGTGGTACTGGGGATTGAACTCAGGACCCTGCTCATGCTAGGCAAGTGTTCTACTACCGAGGTACATACTCAGATGCATGGAAGTTTTTTTTTAAAGGAAATATATACTTATTATCAAAACAAGTTATTAAAACTCAAATGTATAGACGAGGCATGCTCAATACCTAAGACACATGTGGTTCTTAAAATAAAAATTAGGTTATAAATATGGCTTATTGGGCCGGGGATTTAGCTCAGTGGTTCCACTACCTGCCTCAGAAGCGCAAGGTCCCGAGTTTGATCCCCGGTACCCCCCCCCCAAAAGGCTTATTATTTTTAATTAAAGCACACAATAAGACTTCTCATGCTTAAAGCAGTCTGCTCAAATTCTTATTTTCTTATAAGCAAGATATGAATGCAGAATTTTAAAAAACAAAACAGCACATTCTCAAAATGACATTTCTATTTAAAAAAGTAATGTGTATATTTGAAAACAAAACAGGCTGAGAAACAAAACACACTGATGCACTGTAGGTGCACCAATGCAGAGTGATAACAAGATAGTCCTGAGTCTAATGCTCAAAAACCAAGTCAACCCAAAACCACGCTCTTGTACTATGGATAAAAGCCAAGTAGTGTAGGAGTATCACTCACTAATGCTGAAAATAGTGCTGTTTTTGGATTCATTTTTAAACTCCTAATATCTAGTTGACAAAATAAATTACCTGGAAAGCTGATATCAATCATTGGGGCCAATGAAAATGTACATAATTTAATACTTAATTTTCATATCTAGCCTATTTTAATTTCATTTGCTTTATGCTCAATGAATTTAATTAGAAACATTTTTACCAGACTCCTTCCTCTATGACAACAAACCCATTTGTTCCCACACCCACTTATTTCTTATGCCAAGTTTTAATTTCACTTCTGCACTGCTAACACTCATTATACAATGACAATTCTAATAACAAAGACATATTTTAATGGCTTAATAACCATAGAAAGGTATTAAGTACAGTACATTTTTAGATGCTTACTAAATAAGCCTTTGAGGAGACTATCAGCTCTCACCTTTTAAAAGCAATTCAATAAAAAAGTTTATTATAGTACTGTATCCATCAAACATGGTCTGTTGAAAAAAATAACCACACAGAGAATACCATCCTAAGTGCTACAAGGGCCTTCCCTCCTCAAGGGATTACACCTTTCAACACTAGAGGCATCCAACCTGTGGGCCTCCAAGCCAGTTATAACTATGCCTGAGATGCTTTGGGTGTAAAAGCTTCCTGGCCATTGCCTCCAGTCACAAGCAATCTCTATATATCACAGTGTGTGGTACAAATATTTTTCATGTGTCAAAGTTGGAAGGGAATACATTATATAGTACAAATAAAGCCTTTAATATACACGTATTCATAATTATATACACCCATGCAGAAAAGTCCCTGGTTTCCATGCAGTGCACAAACATGACCATACAGGTTGAAACCATGCAAGCATGTTCAGTAATCAATGGTAAAATTTAGAATTATTCTACTACCTTTAAATTTTTTGTCAAATCATTATAAATACTCTATTAATTATAAATGTATAAGGAAATGAAAGAACAGTAAAATATTTATTTAGTATCATGGGTGTACTCAATCTTTTGGCTTGCTTAACCTACACTGAATGAAGCGAATTGTCTTGGGCCACATATAAAGCATATAATATAGTTAATGTATATAACTGGCAAAACTTTCTTGTCTTTTCCTTTCCTTCTTCCTTCCTTCCCTCTGCCCTTCCTTTCTTTGTCAGGGTCTCACTATGTAGTACTGGTTGACCTTGAACTTGTGATCCTCCTAAATCCGCCTCCTGAGTGCTGGGATGACAGGCACGTGCCACCATGTCCATCTTATTTTTTAACATTTTAACTGATCATTTTATGAAATAACACCATGCCCAAGTTTAATAATAAAATGAGAATATTTACATATGGGCTTAATACCAGTAAATGTCCGTCTTCATAGGCACATCCATGTGTAGGCAAGCTGAAATATTATATTAGCAGTCATCACTGCATTTTACTCTCTATGTTGCATGAGTGCCTGGAATATCTGAGACATGCTGGTTTCCACTGATCAGCTGCGTGGCACAGGAGGCAGAGTCAGAACTGCATGGTGCCCTCTCTACACAGCAATCTGTTGTCACTCACGCAGTCTACACTTGAGCACCATGCAATCAAGTCATAACAAATACTGCTAAAAATCACATAATAATGTTAAAAGTTAAAAGGGTGTATTATTAGCTGTTCAAGGCTACACATGGCCTGTGGGCTGTACACAGCAGTCGTAATTAAAATATTAAAAACATAGAGAATGAAAAGTTTTTATCAGGAGTAGTTGGAATAGTGTTTTTTGTCTTCTTATACAACTCATTGAAGGAAGTAAGCATCTTTTCTCCACCATGGTGAACTGGGATCAGCTTCCAACATTCTCTTCTGTGGGCTTTCGTGAAATGCCTCCATGAGTTCCTTTAATGTAAAATCTTATGCTGGTGCCATTTCTTCATCTTCCATATCACAACTACTTTTCCTCATTTATATCAACAAGAGAGGCTTCACCAAGTTCCCCTGGCAACAAATCTAGACTCTCTTGAACAGAGAGGGGTCTGATACCAATATTCTCACTGTCAAGGTATTTCTTCTCTAAGTCCATGCAAGTGTGAGTCAAAGTTCTTTTCTAACAGTATTACTTTTTGTTTCTTGATTTTAATTTTTGTTGGCCAATTAATTCCCCCTTTTGATGATCTTTTTTATAAAATATCACATGGGTTTATCACTGAAGAGAAGGAGGTAACCCAACTGCACACGTGGCTTTCTGAACTTGAACTCAATAATAGGTGCATAGTGACCAACCACAGACAGACTCTGAAAGAAGAGGCTCATACTGTGCATCTGTTATCTATGTAGTGATTAGCAGACTGAAGAGCCAGCATGAAGGCTCTTTGTGTTTACTCACAATGTTCAGTAAAAACTGAAATTTATGCTTATAAAAACTGCAAAGAGAGAACTGCTTGTATGGCAACTATATGGAATTAATACACAGATTAGGATTGAAGGGTGGAGACAGAAGCTGTGATGAGACTACTTTGGAAATTTTCTACAAGGAATAAATTTAATGTTCTTATAGGGCAAGAGGATAAAAATGTACTATAATCAAGGCAAAGAGGAGAATCTGTTTATAGCACAGCAAAACAAATTAAAAAAAACAAACCAAACAAGTGTGTGTGTTCTACCTCTCTGAAAGAGAGACTATGAACTATAAAAGTGGTTCTCAAAACATGCCCCCTGGATGAGTAGCAGCAGCACCACATGAGGACACTAGAACTCGAAGTTCCCAGGAGGATGTGGCAGAAACGCAAAGTTCCAGGTCCTAATCCAGGCCTACTCAGTCGGTGCCTGCAGTCGGCTTTTTAACAAGCCTTGTAGTGATTTTCTTACTTCCATGTTAAACCAAAACAAAACAGGAACACAGATGCTTTTAAAATGGGGCTTAAGGGCCAGGGATTTAGCTCAGTGGTTTCACTGCTTGCTGTGCAAGCGCAAGGACCCGAGTTCGATCCCCGGTACCAAAAAAAAAAATGGGGCTTAAAATGTATTCCTAGGGCAGAGCCATAGCTTAGTGCTACCATGCACAAGACCCTGAGTTAGGGCCGGGAATTTAGCTCAGTGGTTTCACCGCCTGCTGTGCAAGCGCAAGGACCCAAGTTCGATCCCCGGTATCAAAAAAAAAAAAAAAAAAAAGACCCTGAGTTCAATCCTTAGCACCAAAACAAAGCAAGCAAAAGCAAAACAAACTACCCCCATATATATATATACACCCATATAAAAATAAAACATCAAAAAGCCACAGCTAAACAACAATATATAACTCATGGTTTTCACCAAATGGTTGCATCTGAAACTGAGTATCTTGAGGGGGATCAATGATAATGTGTCTTCTACTGTAATATATTTCAAATTTAAACACTCACTGTATATTTTGGTCCACCACATAAATGGTTCATAAGCAGTTAGGGTTCACTGAGGATAACCAGCACACAGGGCAATGATTACTCAGAACTCTTAAGAGTATTTATTAAAATGTGAAGGCTCTGGGTTCAATTCCCAGTCCCTAACCCCCCAAAAAAGTGTTTTTGAAGTAATTCATACAGGTGATGGTAGTTCTATCTGTTAAACTGCACATTAAAAAATAAACACGCATTATCTGTCAGTACTTTAAAAGGAGTTTACTGATGAGTTCCTATATGGCTGGTAACTGCTTTCAAGTAGCTTACAGGAACACTGTTGGTATCAAGTCTTTGGAGGAAAAATAAAATTCCAGTTACTGATCAAAAACTACTATATAAACTTCCAGCAGTATGTGTGAAAGAGGAGGTGAGGGGAGTGCATCACCAAGAAGTACATTTCACCACTTCCATTTTGGGCTAAGCAGAGAGTCAATTATTTCATTAACACTCTCATAAAATATAAAAACAAAATATGGATTAACCCAAATAGGAGTGTGTAAGTGACTAACTTTTTTTTGGACTAGGCAAGAAAAATACTAGTATTATTATTACTATTATTATTATTATTTTTTTTTGGTACTGGGGATTGAACTCGGGTCCTTGTGCTTGCGAGGCAGGCGGCGGAACCACTGAGCTAAATCCCTGGCCCCAATACTAGTATTATTAATACAAGGCATTACGCTACACAGTATAAAATACAAAATAGTATCATACTTATTGTCTAATGGAAAAAAGGGACAGGTGGAAAAAAGAACAATAAAGTAGAAAGTAACATGTGATGAAAGAAGTGAAGGATAATGGATTGAGAGATCAAAGGAAGGAAAAGCCTACATGGAGGGCAGTAGAGATGAGATGAGATGATGTAACTAGCCATCCCGGGGCGGGGGGGGGGAAACAAGGTGAAACATGATTAGGAAGTGCCCTAAATAATGAGGTATATTAACTATAAATGAACACAATCCATGCCAATCAGACCCTTGGTTAATTCTTTCCCCTCTAAAACATCAAAACAAAGACAAAACAAAATGCCATTTCTTCAGGATATTTAAGAAGATTACGATGTTATAATTTTAAGAAAATTTAAAAACATATGCACAAATCAATTAAATAGTAAATTTAGTATTAATACTCTTGAAGTTTGTTAGAAATTACATCTGTGTTTTAATTATATTGTTAAATAAAATAAGTATTGTTGAAATAAAAGATTATGTTAATATTTGTGTACAGCTAAAGAGTAATGAATAAGAGGAAAAAATGAAACATCTGATATCACTAATTCCACTCTGCCATTTAATTCTCAAGTAGGATGAGATTTAATAGAAAGTTAACACAATCAAAATTGAAAAAAGTACAGAATGGAAGTATCTACAAATGAACTTAAATGTATGTATTTACAAGGGAATTAAAAAGGAGAACAAAAGTTCTTGTTTAACTTACCAACATAAAAGGAGCAGTTAGAATGCAATAAACTTTCAGTCCATAAGCGACAAAGTTCACTTTCAGTCAAAGCTTCCACTCCATAACAAGCTTGATATTCCACTTTGGGTAGAACATACACCGGAAATTGCTGCAATGCAAGATTAGACTTTTTCAAAGCTCCATTAGTTTACTATTAATAGTAAATACATTTGTCTACATAGCTTTGCAGCTTTCAAAATGCTTTCAGGTAATCTTATTTCATCCTTTCATATGAGGTAGGATTCAGATAGAAAAAATGATATACTTGAACCTGCTGGATACAAGAACCCTGGGCACATTTGGACAAGAAGTGGAGGAATAAGGGAGATCCCTCAGCACCATCCCTGTGCCCAAAACAAATCAATATACTTCACATATGAATATACTTTATTTCTACCAAGAATAACACAGAATCCTTGGAATACAGCCTATCATACGAGACTGTCCAAATGTTCAAAGCTAGATGCTGGGAAGCAAAGACTGTAATGTATAATAATTCTCAAGAAGATTAAAAAAAGGTAAGAAACTTTTGCTAGCTTTAAGTATTAGTCACTTGTCAGGCTCAAATACTCTGACCAGCTGGCTTTCACTCTATGAATGAATGAACATTAAGACCTACATTAGGGGCCAAGGGGCTCAGTGGTTTCGCTGCCTGCTGCACATGCACAAGGACCCGAGTTCAATCCGCAGTACAAAAAGAAAAGGAAAAAAAAAAAAGACCCACATTAATACTTGTGGATGTGGGCTGAGGATTTTATTTAGCTCAGTGGTTCTGCCACCTGCCTTGCAAGCACAACGTCCTGAGTTCAATCCCCGGTACCACCAAAAAAACAAAAAACAAAACTTGTGGATGTTGCCATTTTTATTAATATAAAAGGCTTTATTCCAGACACTAAGTAGTATCTGACAAATTATCTATTTGGTCTTTATTGGTCAGTACATGAAACAGAGTAAGTAAAATACTCATTACTAGTCTAAAGGAGAATATGCAAAAAAATACATAATTGTGAAATAATATGTTAGTTATATTCACTGTGCTCATGTTACCGTATATCTGTCAAAGAAAATTCTACTCTACTCTATTTTTTGCAGTGTTGGGGATGAAACCCATCCTTGAGCATGCTAGGCAAGTGCTCTACCACTGAGCTATACCCCTAGCACAAAAATTCTACTCTTTTTTTTTTTTTTTGGTACCGGGGATCGAACTCGGGTCTTTGTGCTTGCGTAGCAGGAGGCAAAACCACTGAGCTAAATCCCCGGCCCAAAAATTCTACTCTTAATAGGACAATCCATTTTCTGCTGCAGAAGAACAAACACATGATTTAAGGAACTTACTCAAAGTGATATGCCTAGTTAGCACATTTGAAATTATACTAAGACACTGACACTGACACTGACAGAGAGATTTGAAAAGATTTCATCAATGTTTCTGAATTCCTGATTTTCATGAAGTGGCTAACTTAGTAGCTTTGGCACAATGATGGTGGCTAAGAACAATTCAAATACAGTAAAATTTCTATTATCAACATGTGAAACAGTGAAGTTCATATTGGATTTTGTCAGACACTGAAGTAGGGATTCCTAAATGTCACTCTGCATATGGATCACCTTGTGATCTTGTGAAATTGTAGAATGGGGTGGTGACCATGATTTTTTATTTTAATAAGCTGCTGCTTTAGCAACTACACTTGGAGTAGCAAGGCCACTAATGGGCCTTCTTAATTTAAAATTTGTAGGGCCGGGGATTTAGCTCAGTGGTTCCACCGCCTGCTTTGCAAGTGCAAGGTCCCGAGTTCGATCCCTGGTACAAAAAAAAAAAAAAAAAAAAAGTAAACTGTCATCAGGATAACTTTATGTTAAAAATTATGTCACTGTAATTTTTTAGCAAAAGGTAATCTGTATATGATTCAGCTTCATAACTTTAGAGCAAATAGAAGCTAAAAAACTAAAGGCCTAGAGGGTTAAGAAATTAGTTTCAAGGATATTTATTGTAGAATTGGAGAAAAATAATTGATAAAATGATCTCCCTTCTGGATCATGAATGGCTAATAAGTTAAATCTATATATTTTTAACTTAAAACTTATACTATTTCTGAAAAGTATACATTAAAAAATAAGTACTTTGGGGGATTTTCTTTGATAATACTTTATCTATAAAACTAAATCCCTAAATCCAGTTTTAATTTCTACACGTATTCTACTGCCACCTCCAGGAAGCCATGGGAAATAAAGGCCTCAATATTTTATCTTTCCTTAGTACTCGAAAATTTACAATTTTTTCTTCAGTACTGGGGACTGAACCCAGGGCCTTCACACTGAACTAAATCTCCAGCCCTTTAAAAAAAATTTTTTTTTGACACAAGGTCTTACTAATTTGCTAAGTTGCCCAAGCTGGGCTGAGATGTGCCATCCTCCTGCCTCAGGTCTCCCAGAGTACAATCACAGGTGTGGACCACTATGCCCAGGTAAGGTTTTTATACTACAAAAATTAAATTCAGTATTTCATTTTCCCTCTGATAGATGGCTCCTATTCTCTTCTCTTCAAGTAAAAGCTTTTCTTGATTCTGTCTTCCAATTTTTCACATAAACTTCTTAAACCTTTACCTATATTCCTAAATAGACATTTTTGTAGTTATTATCTTAACAATCCCATTAAATAGTATCTTCTGTTCTTCATAACATTTTTTGTTTTTTGTTTGGTACCAGGGATTGAACTCAGGACCTTGCACTTGTGAGGTAGGTGGCAGAACCACCAAGCTAAATCGCCAGCCCTGTTCTTCCTAAAATTTAGCATCTTCAAAATCATTTTTTCTGACCCTATAGTGCCAATATAAATTTTTTAAAAATTTATTTATTTATTTATTTTGCCAATATAAATTTTAAATGACTGCATCTAAATTTTAGAACATAGCACTTAGAATACATGGTCAACTGTGACAGACAGTAACAGATATGAAATAATCCAAAGTTATGTTGTCTGGATTTCGTAATTTCACATAAATTCCAAGATTTCAGTAAATTCCCAGTTTATCGTGTGGTCCAAATTAGCCCCTTCACTTCATCCCATGACTTGAAACTGGCTGCTGTTTTAATTCTCCTCAGAAACACCGCTCTTAGTAAGCAGAGCTGTGATGGGGAAGCTTAAATGAATGGGAACTGAAATCTCCACTAAGATAATACAGAACTGAAGAATCACGGGGAAACAAAGGACAGGTCAAGTCCCTGAGTACCCTAGGTTAGAGACTTCTAAATATTTTTAAAGCTCTATTTATTTACTTATTTATTTATTTATTTCCTGTTACCAGGGATTGAACTTGAGACCTTGTGGTTGAAAGGCAGGCAGTGGAACCACTGAGCTAAATCCCTGGCCCAAAGTTTTATTTAAACAATCTGGTTTTTAGGCAGGAAATATTAATGAGAATGCATTTTTATCTAATTAAACTAAGTACCTTAACCTCTCTGAAGTTCTTTTCCTTAACAATACCCTCAGCCTCCCCCTCCCGAGTCCTCAATTTTTCTCATTTACTCAGATCTTTTTGAGTTTCTGTGGTATAAAACATTTGAAGGGAACAGATGAATGGTGCATGATTCCAAAGGGCACACAGTCCACTACAGACTTAAGCCATCACATAATGATAGCTGCAGCAGGATAAGCATTCACTTAAAAATTTTAAATTTTACTTTGGGTTTGATACAATCAGAAATATAAAACTTCTATGGAGATATTCTTTTGGGCTTAATTGTTTTGACATATTTTGATCAAAAATGAATATTCTTCTATTAGGGTATAATACATCTTGACATTTACAAATTCACTTTACTTTTTTTTTTGAGACAGGGTTTCATTATGTAGTTCAGAATGGCCCTGAACTCACTACCTAGCCCAGGCTGGCCTTGAATTCAGTGATCCTCCTGCCTCAGCCTCCTGAGCAGTGGGATTACAAGCACCACCATGCCCAGCTAACAAATCACATGTTCGTCAAATAAATGACAATATCCTTATCAAATTATCTTATTCAAAATTAAATCAGTATCCAAATCAAAATGGATCAAAGATCTAAATGTTAAAACAGAAACACAATTTGCTAGAAGATAAAACAGGAAACATTCTTGAACAAGACAAAGATATAAGCAAGGACTTTCTGATCAGAACTCCAATGGCACAAGAAATAGTACCAAGAATCAAAAATGGGATCATATCAAATTAAAAAGGTCCTGCACAACAAAGGAAACAACCAGCAGAGTGAAGAGACAACCTATAGAATGGGGAGTTAAGATGCCAGAGGACAAATATGTAGAATATATAAAGAACTAAAAAAAAAAATTACACCCCCAAAATAAAAGATCCAATTGAGAAATGGCCTACTGAAATAAAGAGACACTTCTCAGAAGTACAAATGGCCAATGAACACATGAAAAAACATTCAATATCTCTGGCCATTAGAAAAATGCAAATTAAAACCACACTACGATTCCATCTTCAGAAAAAAATGGCTATCATCAAGAAATCAAATAATAACAAATGCTGCTAAGGTCACGGGGAGAAAGGAATCCTTTTACATTGCTGGTAGGAATGTAAACTAGTACAACCACTATGGAAATCAGGATGGAGATTCCTAAAAAAACTAAAACTAGAAATTCCATTTGACCCACATATTCCCTTTCTAGGTATCTTCCTAAAAGAGTTAAAGACATCGTATCACAGTGATACGTGCATATTCATGTTTACAGCAGCACAATTCAAAATAGTTAAATCTTGGAAGCGGTCTATATGTCCATCAACAGCTGAATGGATAAAGAAAATGTGGTATTTATGTACAATAGAGTAGTACTCTGCCATAAAGATAAATTTGAGTCATCTGTACAAAAATGGATGCATCCTGAGAAAATGTTAAGTGAAATAAGTCAGACACACAAGCTTAATATCGCATGGTTTCTCTTATATGAGAAATTCAAACTATAAAGAGTAAAGTAAAAGAAAATAGAAAGTAGGAAGACAGCTCTTTCTCAAATAGGAAGGGGGCCAAGAGATGGAAGAAGGATGGAGGGGAGGGAGGGGTGGAAAAGGAATTAAGATGTGTCATTATTCACCCACTCCCCACAAGGAAGGTATTCATTATGTAATGCAAACATGGACTAAAAAAAACAAAATGAAAAAAACACATCAAATTTAAATCAATATCCAAAATTTACCTAAGCTATTTCTAAGTGCTACAGCTGTGATGGCAAACCTTTTAGAGCTTTCAATGACACAAACAGCCCACTGTGGCACGAGTGCCATAGGTTTGCCACCACTTGACTATGGGCTAAAAGAGAAATACAAAGTGGTATGGGTTCACATGGTAAGAAATAAAGACAGGTCATCGGGTGTGGTGGCGCACAGCTGCGAGGCCAGCTCTCAGGAGGGTGAGGCAGGAGGATCACTGTGGGTTCAAGGACAGCCTGGACTACACAGTGAGTTCAAAGCTGGCCTGAGCTACATAGTGAGACCTTGCCTCAAAACAGGAAAAAAAAAATGAAGTTAAGAAACAGCAAGAATTACAGAAATAAAACCTTAAAAATACAATCTATAGTACTGATACTATATACATTCAAACTGCTCACACTTAAGGTTATTAAGTTTATCACAGTTAAATATAAGTGAGGCAGGAAAAAGCAAATAAAGTAAAATCTAATACAGAGAATATTAGCATTTATCTAATAGAAGACTAATTATCACTTGCCTAGCATGCATAAGGTCCTTGGGTTGATCCCCAGTACTGCCTAAATAAATAAAAGCACTTCTTCATACAATTAATTCGAAATCATTTGGTTTCTAGAATTTCAAATTTGAATTAATGATGAAAAAGAAATTATGAGAATCAGGATTTTAATAATTAAAACTTAGGTTTTAGTCAATGCTCCTTCTACTTCACAAAAGATAAAAATATTATCAAGCAAAAACTCCACCAAGCTCACTGGAGTCTGATGGCCACAGCACACACTCTGGCTGTGGATGGGTTGGTCTTGGAGTTTTTCACAGCACCCAGTCCCTCATGCTGCTGTAACGAGCAATGTGCTAAGGGTAGCACTTCTTTTCTTTCTGTTTGCAGTTATTCTTTAATATAATACAGCAGTCAGGGAGTATTGGACCATCACTACTCCTGATCCACTTGATCCCTATCCCAAAACATCCCCAAGTGGTCAATGATGATTCTTTTAGGGCAGGGGTTTTGGATATACACTAAAATTAAAAAAAAAAAAAAAAAAAAGTGCACTATGACAAATGTACACCACAGAAAAACTCTCTTAAGCAAAAAGAGAAGACACTTCAATACTTCTTACTTTCAAAGCTTGTACTTCTAAAACAAGTCAGGAAGAACCCCAAAGAGTGAGCAAAAGGGGCTCATATGTCATAATGTAAACCCAAATTCACAAGGGTAAACAAGGTCAAATCCATCATGGTGCAGTTTTTCATAGTTTACAGGGTGCACGAGAAGATGTTAATGGCATTTAAGACACATTTAATTAAATACTTTCTCTTATTAAAATTGATCTCAATATTTTACTAAAAGTATTCAACCTGGAAATATAAGAGTGACTGACAATCTAATATTACTTCATAATAATGGAATGTGACATATTTCCTGATTATCTACTTATTCCACCACCTCTTAACTCCCAAGGTAACAACTTACTCTTCTGATTTTCTTCCGTTTTTTAGAACGTGGTCTTGTTTCTATCCTCTGGACACTGCAACGCACAAGTAACAACAGGTCTTGCAGGCTGAATAACTTATAAACAAAATTTCCTTCTTTAGGAGCTAGATATTCTGATGTATCTTCAACATAGTCCTGAAGTTCATATGGCAATCCTTTAAAAATAATTTTTCATTTTTACTTTAAAATGCATTAGTCTTTTCCATCATAATACGGGATAAAACAATTCAATTAACTATTTTTTAAAACTTAAAAAAACTTTTCTACTTCTTTTACCTACTTTCTAACACCATCATTTCTGTTTACTTTTACTGGGATTGCAGCAAAGAGGTGAAACCAAAGCTTTAAGGTTTTCTTCCTTTTTGCTATTACCTTTCTTACATAAATTTTGGATTAATCAATGTTTATCATTATGATGATGTACTTCCTCTTCACTAGTTTGGCAAACTACATTCCTCATAGCTCAGCAGCCACTGTGCGTCTTGGATAAACACAGGTTACAAGTAAACCTTTGGGTTATAGAGAGGATATTCTGGAAGCTGAAACACTGAGCTTTAGAAAAATGAAATGTTAATGAGCAGCTAATGATTATAAAACAGGTTACAATAATGAACAAGGGAGGAAAAAGCTAAGAAAAAGAAATAGATAAAAACAGTGGAAGTGCTTTGTAAATACTTACGTCCTTTTGGCTTCTGAAATGCAGAAGGCCACCCAGATTTTGGCCAACTAGAGGCATGTAGAGGAGCAGTAGGAGGTTGCTCAGAAACAGGTGGCTGTTTAGCATTTTCTAAATTCATTAAGGGGAATTCAGGTTCTTTTCTGGAAATTGGCTTTAAGAGTTCAGTCTGCATTTTTAAAATTTGTCCAACTGGATCAAATTTTGTATATACTCGTTTGATAGGTTTTTTTAAAACACACAATTCTTCAGGATTGTGAGTAGTACTAGCCTGGTTTCCTACAGAAGCCTTTCCTGAGGAAGAATTTGGAGTTGCTGGTCTAGAACTTAAATTAGAATCCAAAACAGCTGTTTTTCCATCACTATTATTTTTACACTCTGTATCAATGATTAAACAGTCCTCATCTGTATCACTACTGCAAGGAATTACTGTTTCAGTTCCAGCTGTTTCTGATGTGGCAGGCTTTTCCTTTGAACTGTCTCTGTTCTCTAGGACATTTAGTCTTTCATCATCAGCACATACCACATCTGTAGCCATATCATTTGCATCAGAGTTTTGAATTTTCTTAGAACTTTCCAACTGCAAGGCATCAGATGTCAAGTCATTATCTTGCATCACAGACTTGCTGGAATTGGACACTTTTTCACCATGTGGTCCACGTCCCTGGTCATCTTTATTTCTGCACTCTTCGGGGCCACTTTCCATACCGATGACCAGCTGTTTCTCCTTCTGTAATTGTTCCATCAGAATCCGAGATAAACTTCTGGTATCAGCAGAGGGATCTCCTAGAGGTGGTGCCACCGGGGTAGCAGCTACTTTGGGGGCTGGGAGCGTATGTGTCATGATGGGTACGGGGCAAGTACTTGCTGGACTAGGTGACTTTGATGGTTCTGTTGTGGTTGCTCCAAAAGTTTCAAGTTCTGTGACATCATCATCAAAATCCAGATCCAAATTTTCAAGAGTCTCAATTTTTCGGTACTCATTAACTTCACTGGATGTCTTGGAAGAAAATATACTGGTATATTATTAGACAAAATTTAAGGGCATGCCTCAGCTCTTAATGTCCCTCCTCTCCCTCACATGCATAGTTCATGTTTTTAAAAGTAGAAAGAAAAGTGGATTGGCTCTGGAAGGATTTTGCTTTAGACAACAACAAACTACTAGCAACCTCACTTTCTTATTGAAATGTTCATGAAAACACAAAATTTCCATGTTGTAACAGCACAAGAAACAGTAAATTTTGGACTACCGTATCAAAGAGGAATTTATAACAGTGAAAAGACAGGACAACCAAGAAGAAATGTAGGGCTACACAGGAAGTCAATAGTTTTCATTTCTGCCCACTCTACACTGTTGCAGAGACACTTGGTCTTACTGATCAGGAGGAAAGCCTGTTTGCTGCTGGGAGGAAGCTGCTTTCTACTGTAGCCAGAGAAACGTCTTCAAGCAGTGACTTTCTCTCTATCTACTCTGGGAAAACAAATCTGAGTGACATCAGACGGCGCAGCCACTGACAGGCCATGTTGTATTGTATATCGGGACATGACATATTGACCTTGTCTTTCTCCACACAGGGTTTGTTAATGGAAAAACTACACACAGCTTTAATTTATTTAGGAATATGAGGTATGGTCAAAAACTATGGTGAATGTTTAAATTAAAAATTTCTTGTAGTAAAAGTATTAATCCTCTGGAAAATACTTCCCCTGCATCAAACACACTTATTCCTTTGTTCCTCTCACCATTTGAAGCAGCTCTGGAAGTCCTCTTTTGTCAGTGTCTTTAGCTGTGCTGTCCTGGCTGCCTCGATGTCCTGAATCAATTCAAAACATTTACCTTTCATGGTCATTCTGACTTCAGGGAAGAGCCAGGAGCCACAGTGCGCCAGATCTGATGACTAAGGCAGACAAGGACACACCGCAGTGTTTTTACCACCCTGCCTCTCCCTGGGATGGCACACAGCAGCAGTACCCATGGTAGTTTTGGTCACAGCTTGTAAAGACATTCACGAAAGAGGACTCCCAGAACTGGTTGGAAAAGGGCAATAATATCAGGATAAATGTGTTTGAAGCAAGGGGGAGTGAGTATTTTGAGGGGGATTAACAGCAATGTGTCTTTTACTGTAATAAATTTTAATTTAAACACACACAGTATTATTATTATTATTTTTTGGTACCGGGGATCAAACTTGGGACTTTGTGCCTATGAGGTAGGCATTGGAACGAGAGCTAAATCCCTGGCTACACACAGTATTTTTTGATCAGCCCTTGTATTATCTATTTTGTCTGATTTGTGACCTCTGGAAATCAATGGAGGACTTGTCATGAGATTTTAAATTTATCTGAATGAGTGTTTTGCATATAAAATTTCATATAATTTCCATGAAGCATGGTGTTGTTTTTATTGGACAGATAGTAAGTGTTCATCTTTATTGGGTATGGAGTGACGTTTTGGTACATTTCTATACATGATGTACTGACCAACTAAGGAGAAACAGCTTATCCATCATCTCAGACATTTATCAGGACTTTCTGAAGGGAAATTATTCAAGCTCTTTTCTACTGCTTATTCTGAATTAAGAAATATAATATTAACTCTAACCCCCTTTCTGTGTTAACAGAGTAACATGAGAACTTATTCCTATCTGGCTGAATTTGCACCTGCTAGCCAAACTCTCCCCACCCGTCTTCAGCCTCTGGTAACCAGTATTCTGTTTTCTACTTCTAGAAGCTCAGCTTTTTTAGATCCCATATGTAAGTAAAAGCATACAATATTTGTCATTCTGTGCCTGGCTTATTGTACCTAACTATATGATCTCCAGGTTCATCTATGCTGCTGCAAATGACAAGAGTGCCTCCTTAGAGGCTAGACAGTATTGCAATGTGTCTATATACACATTTTTTAGACACTTATCCATTAGTGGACATCCAAGTTGGGTCTGTATCTTGGCTACTGTGAATAGTGCTACATGAAAATGCCGGTATCTTTTTAACATAATTTTCACTTCTTTTGAATACATATATATAAGTGGGATTAGAGGGCCAGGGATTTAGCTCCATGGTTCTGACGCCTGCCTACAAAAAGCAAAGAACAAAAGGTGATCCCTGGTACCAAAAAAAAAAAAAAAAAAAAATGGGATTAGATCATATGTTAGTTCTATTTTTAATTTTCCTGAGGAGCCTACATACTGTTTTCTGGAGTGGTTGTACTAATTTACATTTCTACCAGCACAGAAGGCTTCTTCTTTCTCTACACCCTTACCAGTATTTGTCATTTTTTAAATCTTTTTTATTACATCCATCCTAACTGAGGAGAGATGGTATCTCATCGTGGTTTTAGGTGATACACAAAAAACATAAAAATTGTACATACTAATGTTGTACCATGTAATGTTTCAGTACATGTACAAGCTGAAGACTGTATTTTTAACTACTAAGCTTAAAGACTTGCAATGAAATTTTACGTTTCAAAATGATAAATAAGTTCATTCCTCTAACGAAAAAGAAAAAGGAAGAAAAAAACATTACATACATCCATTTCAGATGTGTACTCTTCAGGTCTGTCCATAAATACTGCAGAAACTGGAACAGATGTGCTTTTGCACATCATAAATTTTAATGGAATTTCGTGGAAGATTTGATTTCTGTCTCTCATTGTCATTTTCTTCTGAGGAAGTGGGGAATTAATATAAATTACTTTAATTGGTTTGGAACCTTAAAACAGAAACAGAAAAGAGGGGTGATTAGCATCTAGTTGTTTTATTTCTTAGAAAACATGGATGTATGAGCGAAGGATCATGATACAAAGAGACACAGGGCCAGCAAGGGGACCTCATGTATTTGCCACTCTTGGACCAGAAGATTTTAAAGTCCTTTAAAATCTTTTAAAGTCAGTTCTGTAGCAGATTTATATTTGAAAAAGTCTTGAGTTTAAATGTTAAATTTAGCTTCTACTAAAGACGAGAGAACTAAACTGGTATGAGAACTGTTTTCTAACAATGCCTAGTTACTTTCTGGTTTCCCTTTTTTGTTTTTTTGAGACAGGCTCTCACTTTGTCAGTAGGCTGGCCTCGAACGCACAGTGATCCTCCTGCGTGCTGGGATTACAAGCGTGCCTCACCACACCCGGCTTCTGGTTTTCATTGTTGTACTCTTACTGTCACTATTACTCAGTTTACCGGAACTTGCAGGAAGTGATGAGATTTTTGCCACTGAGAATATATTACACTTAACTCTAAATTGTGAGTTTATCTCAGTAGACAAAAACTTCTGCTTATTGTATTTATGTTGTTATACTTAATAATATTAATTCTGAAAGACAGATTAGTACAGATGTATTTTAACCGATTGTCAATGACAACAGACAAGTAAGTAAGTCCTGGAACTCAACTATTTGAAGCTGTCTAATAAACTACTACATTCTTTCATTTCAGAGAAAAACAGAAGCACCTCACCATTTTACGTACTTCTGGCCTAAGTCACAATCACCCGTCTTATCTCTCACTTCCTAAGGTACTTTACTGTGCTAAGGTACCACAGGTACTGTAGACCTAATACTGTAGCAGCTTTATATGTGAAAAAGTTCTGAGTTTTTTGTTTTGTTTTGTTTTGTGTTTTCTGAGACAGGGTCTTGCTATGTGGTTCAGGCTGGCCTTGAACTCACTATGTGGCCCAGGCTGGTCTTGAACTCACTGTGATTCTCCTGCCTTAGCCTCCGAAGTGCTGGGATTATAGGTGTGTGCCACCACACTGGGCTAAAATTCTGAATTTAAATGTTAAATTTACCTTCTCCTTAAAACAAGACTTGGATTTTTGTATTTAACAAAGACCATCTATATTTAGACAGCTGACGTGGTCCTCAATGCTTTTATTTTTTGGGTGGTGGCACTCGGGATTGAACCTGGGGCTTTCACAGTACACCACCCACCCACTTCCCCCCAACCAATCTATCTTTTTCTCCTTCTTTTCTTCCTTCCCCTCCCCTTTCTTCCTTCCCCTCCCCTTTCTTCCTTCTTCCTCTCTTTCTTTTTTTTGCAGTACCAGGGATCAAACTCGGGACCTTGTGCTTGTGAGGCAGGCGAGGCACCACTGAGCTAAATAACCAGCTCTTTTTCTTTCTGTCTTATTTTGAGAAAGTTTTGCTAAATTGCCCAGGCAGGGGCTCAAAACTGTGATCCTCCTGCCTCAGCTTCCTGTAGTGCCAGGATTACAGGAATGCACCACCATGTCCAGCCCCAACACTTTTTAAGAGCATTATTTGATACAGTAAATCACAAACCTGCAATAGGTATAACTTGAACACAAACTGGAATTTCCCACTGTTCCTTGTAGTCTGGTCCATGATTATTTAATAAGGTAAATAGTGACTGGCTAGTCAGAGCTATCTGAGGATGATATCTTGAAACAAGCTTCTCTGCATTTGGATCTTTATTAATCTCCTGAAAAACAACGTATAAATTGTTACTTGGTTATAGTCTGAAAATTTCTTTGATAAGGTATGGAAAAAAAGGGAGAAAGGGGACTTTAGAACCATCAGGTTGTATTTTTGTGAGGTACAGATATTTAGAAAGACCCAAACCACCATGCTACTCACATAGTGCATAGCTTCAGCGATTTGTTCTGGAGTTTCGATGGGAGACACATTACTTTTTGAGAGCTTCAATACTGCAGGCATTGAGGGGAACACTGTTTTCACAAACTTTACACTGCCCTATATAAGCAAAATATGAACGTTATTGCAAAAATCCTGACATTTTTCTCCTGAGAAAAATATCTTTCATCACAGGCATTAAGTAAAATTTATTATTCTACTAAATACAGTTATCAAATTTAGGACCTCCATAAGCCAAGATGTTTATTCTTGTTTTTGCTTGACTACACCAATTTTTTTTTAGTTTTGTTTTTTTTTACAGGTCTAAGAGAAGGATTTCATGGAATTTCCTGGCCCCCTTAAATTCCACCTTCTCTTTTTATGAAGCATAAATCTCAGCAGGGAATAGTAGAACCCCTAAAATATTCTCTCCATCTACTTATTTCAATAGTTTGTAAATACAGTTCCATTACAGAAGGAGGGCTTCCTGTCTGTTCAGGAACATTAAGGAAGATGGGAAGAAAATCAAGAAATACAGTTAGTTAGTAGTGTCATTTTTAAAAGGTCAAATATTTGTATCCATAAAATGAAAGCACTGGGACACCATCTGTGCTATGCTTTCAAAGCCATCTCATTAGTGCTCAAAGATTTAAACATAAAATAGTATGTATATGAAGCGGGGTGTGGTGGCACCCACCTGTAATCCCAGCACTTGGGAGGCTGAGGCAGGAGGATTGTTGAGTTCGAGGCCAGCCCCGACTACACAGTGAGTTCAAGGAAATCCTGAACTACAGAGACCCTGTTTCAACCACCCCCCCAGCAGTATCTATATGAAATACAGATGATGTATCAGATCAACAAAAGCTTACACTTTCATATGATAAACCTTACCAATGCAAGAAGGGTTTTTTCTAATTTTAATCCTGCCTCTATTCTGAACGGGAAGAACCCCATTAAACTGGTGACTTCATGAAGAGTATAAAATTCTGGATACTTTTTTACTTGTTCAATGCAAGCTCTTAAAATTTGCTAGAAAATAAAAATTAAGGAAAATCACATTTGTATTGTATTTCTCTAACAATGCAACAAAAATATTTGAGTTACACATGGGACTATGTAATTATTCACTGCAAAAGTTAACTGTTGTGTTAATCAGGCTTCTAACAATTCAGGCATACTGTATATTCCTTATTTGAGTTAATCTTTTATTTTTCATAACAAATTTTTAACCTAATTTCCTAAAATACTGATATTTAATAATACTAAAATTAGCAATCTTATTAAATTTTAAAATTAAATACAGAAGACACATCATATTTTCTTTGCTATTTAAGAAACTGTCAAAGAAATAAAGCCACATAAAAATTTCAATACAATGTACTGCAATAAAAGCAATTACATGAATGATTAGAAATATATAAGTTTAACACTCTGAAATAAGTCCCAAGCACAGTGAATTCATGAAGTAGTTAGCTTACAGGTTATTCTAATCTACAATCTAAAAAATAAATGAGAATGTTATAACTAACTCAAATGATGGAGTACTTAGTATTTCCTTCTCCCCAGTTTTCCAAATATTAATGACTTATCAGGAAATGTAATCAGGAAGGAAGGAATACCCACAGCTACCTAAAAAGAATAACATGTAAATAACTCACAGAAGCATAGGCATTGGTGAGGGAATGTGTTTATAATTGAAAACACCCATATACTATCTTCCAAGATACATTACTTTTTCTTCTGTCAATTAATGTTATCTTAACCTCTTAGAACGTATTCTAGATCATAAGTTTTCAGCAATAAGCATATCTTAATAATATATAGATATATCTTTTCATCTATAGTTTCATATTCCTCTTTCCCCTTTTCTAGTTCCCATCCCCTGCTATCTTTAACATTTTCTCCCTTTATCTACATTTCAATGCTAATCTTGATAATTAACTCAGGATATTACTCACAACTAATGTTGACTTGGGCTAATATGGAAAAGTTGTGTTTCATAACCTTACTCAACTAAAAACCCGTATCTGCACAATGTTTTTGCTCCTTATTTACAAAATTAGCTAAATTTCCTCTCTTTTGTTCCCCTTGAATGGCAGTCATTACAAGAATCTAAATACGCAAAGTAAAGCAATACAAAGGAACTATTTGACTTGAAGACTATTCTAGTTAGATATTTCACTGGCACATTGTTCTTGGTAAAACTGCTGATGCTGCAGTGCTTTTCACAGAATTTCTCTTAATTCTGTATGGCAAGAGAAAGAGTCAAAGAAACAGCAGGGAGTTTTACCCTTGTGCACATCAACCACAGTACAGTAGACCCCTTCACCTGTGGTTTACTTTCCACAGTTTCAGTTACCTGCTGTCAACTGGGGCCTGAAAATATTAAATGGGAAATTTCAGAAATAAGCAGTTCCTAAGTTTTAGATTATGTATCATTTTGAGAGTGTGATCAAAATCTCATGCTCCATCCTGTTCAGAATGGAAGACATCTGTTGTCCAGTACATCACTTAGCAGCCATCTCAGTTACCAGATCGACTGCCATGGCAGCGTGGTAGTTGCGCTCACGTACAAGCAAGATAGTCAGTGGCAGCCTAGAAAGTTACCACATCGCCTGCATCAGTCACCTCAGTTCAACTCATCGCATAGGCAGAGCATCTCACATTATCACTAGCAGGGAAAGGGCTGTGCAGTGAGGTATTTTCATTGGGAGAGACATCATATTCACATAACTTTGTTATAGCTGTACTTTTTTATTACTGGTGTTATTACTGGTTTTTTATTATTGGTCTTGCTGTGCCTGATTTACAAATTAAACATTATCAAACGTGTGTATGTACAGGAAAAGTGAGTGCATGTAAGGTTTGTTATTATATACACCTCCAGGCATCCAGAGGGTCTCAGAATGCATCCTCTGTGGATGAAAGGGGACCATTCTATGCAGATGAATCATTAAAAATACAAACACCATTCATGTGACTGTACTTAAGTACACAAATTTGAGATATTAGTATTTCTACTATTTCAGTATAAGAATAAAAGGCCTACACGTAACTCATTCTCCAAATTGATAATATGGACAGTTCCCTAGGCTTTTGGAAGGATCATCACACATTTTAGAAGCTGCTATTGTCTATCACTTGGCAGTTTTCACAAATGTAATTTTTTTTTTACCTCTGTGAGGAGATGGGCATCACATGACAGCATATTATAATCCTGTGCACATTTCTTTGCAGAATTTTGCAAAAACTTTAGGAATTCAGAAACTTCTTCATTCACATGTTTTTTCATATCCTGATTTTTAAAAAAGTAGACACATCTTGGAATAAAACATTTCATTAGAAAACAATCACTTCTCAACCATCACTCTAATAATTTGAACTTAATAATACCAAATCCAAAGCAAAAAACACAAAGAAAAAGTTAATAAAGATTATTATAATGATATAAGAATAAACATCTTATTAAAAACTCTGAAAGGCTTAGGACTGTAGCTTAGTTTTTATTTTTTATTTTTTTTTTGGTATCGGGGATTGAACTCGGGACTTTGCATTTGCGAGGCAGGCGCTGGAACCACTGAGCTAAATCCCCGGCCCAAGGACTGTAGCTTAGTGATACAGTATGAGTTTAGTATGCATGAAGCCCTACGTTCAATCCCCAGCACAAAAAAAAGACAAAAAAATTTTTTCTACAAAAATAGAAAAGCAAATGATTAGTACAAAATACACACTTAGGAATTAGACATAAAAAAAAAAAAAAAAGTAGAGAGCTGGGGATTTAGTGCAGTGGGCCAGGGATTTAGCTCAGTGGCACTGTGCCTGTCTTGCAAGCGCAAGGTCCTGAGTTCCATCTCCAGTATCGGGAAAAAAAAAAAAAGTAGAAAATGAGCACACAGTATAAATAGGTAAGATACCAAAGGAAATAAAAATAGCTTACAGACATGGGAAATGGTTATTTTAAGTAGTAATCTCTATAAATTAAGGTAAAATAAGAAACACAATTTTCCTCATGTCTGTTTAGAGGCAAAAAAGGTGATGTCTAGTATTAGTAAAGATAGCTTTAAATTTTCATACAATTGTGGTACAAGTAAATTGGTTTAAACTTTTTACAGAAAAATTTACCACGTGTAACTGTAGATCAAAGCTTTAAAAATATGCAATCTTTGATCTGGAATTTTTATTTTTAAGAATTTATCTTAAGGAAATAATAGATATGAAAGATGATTTTGGTAAAAAGATGTTCCGCACTGGATCATTTATACAACTGAATATTAATTAAAGTCATAATTAAGCAATGACTTAATAATCTCCCAATAAGCTATATAAAGTTCTATCATTAGTACTTGAGATGAACTGGAGAGACATGCTGGTAATTAAATGTCTTACTTTTCCATTCTCATCAATATGCCGCTAACATTATAATAAGAGAAAATTTAAAACATTTCCTGATGTTTAGTATTTTTTTACTGAAGCCGAAGAATGGAATACATACCAAGTACTGTAAGTATTCATTTTTATTTATTCCAACAGCTTTGGAATTTGGAGGAATCTTTGCGTATTTAACCAACAAGTCCACATAACTCCTCTGCTCTCTCTGTGAGAAACGAGAGAAACGAGGATAAGGCACTCTTGGTTTTGGAAGAAGAACCATTCCAACTCTGGTTTTAACATTTTCCTTTGCTTGAGCTGCTGAACTAACTGCCGGCTCATTTTCTACAGAACTTGCTGAGGCATTCAAATTTTCCCCTACATGTCTGGAAAAAAAAATACAATTTACAAATATGTGCTTTTCACATGAAGATTACTATCATGGCACTTCATGATTCTCAATCACAAGGGAGAATATAGCGTGATTAACTGAGTAAATTCTGGATTATTATCCAACTCTGCACCTGCATTTTGATATTTACCATTTCGTGTAGATTAAGTATTCTGCCGGAAAGGACCACATTACATACTTACCTTCAACTACCTGATGGAGAGGAAGAGCCACATGTGGTACACTACTTATTTAATTTGGAAGTTTTTCCCCCTTTATGGGAGAGGGGAAAATCATTCTTACCAACTATATTCATGTTTACATTTGATACAATGGCATTTGTTTCTTAACAAATAAATTATTCAGTAAGGGGTATCAGTTAATATGGTAAACAAAAGCTACTGAGAACAGGAAAAGAACAGTCACAAACTTGAAACTAATAAATTTACAGAGCTGCAAAATTTTCTGGGCTCCTCTGTTTATCTTGAGAATTAAGAAGAAAATTCCAACAACTGTACACAATATTTTAGGGAAGCAGCAGTGTTTTTAGAAAAGCTGTATAACCCTCTTAGTCATATACATGGCTAATTCCATGGGAATGTCTCTATGCTTTTTACGGATGCAAGAGAAAAAATCCTGGTGTATCTAGAATGAAACACACTAGAGAAAGTAGCGAACAGCTAGAGAACTTGCTTCCATATTTATTTATGAAATGCTACCTCCAATTTTCAAAAATCACCTTACCATCCCCATGAAGGCACCTGACCACAAATGTCTTATCATGATCACAATCTCTCCTTATTCTTTTTTTTTAATGGCAGGTATAATGTCATTTATCTTATTTTTTTATTTATATATTTATTGGTACATTTTAGGTATACAATACATTTACATTTATCACTGGGTGTTAGTACCTGAACGTGATGTATCTTAGTTCTTATTTTTTCCCCATTACCTGTGCACCCTTCCCTATTTACATAGACTTTGTTTCCATTTTTTTTTCTTTTGTCATAATTTTTCCTTTCCCTTCTTCCCTTTCCTTTTCCCCTCCCACCACCCCTACACCTTTGGATCTTTTCCTATTTCAAATTATCAATTATTCATTTTAATCATTTCAATCCTTATTTACACTTTCAGTTTCTCACACTAGAGAAACTATTCGGTATTT